GGAGGCAGCTTCTCCTTGTCCTTCTCCTTGTCCTTCTCCTTGTCCTTATCCTTGTTCTTTCCCCTTCTCCCTCCCCTGTCCCCGCAGACTCGGGCATCCTGCGCAGGATCCTGCACGTGCTGTACACAGACTGCGTCCGGCAGTGCAGCGGGCCCATGTACGTGGTGAGTGCTGGCACCAGGGTCCCCAGCCCTGCAGACTGCACCCCTCCTGCCCGCCCTCACCTCTGCTCCGCACCTTTTGCAGGACCGGATGGTGCTCTTGGTCATGGGAAACATCATCAACTGGTCACTGTGAGTGCGGAGCCGGGCACACACCAGCCCCTGCACCGCTTCTCCCAGTCCCAACCGTGCTCCCATCCCTGCTGCCGCCCCCCTCCCACTGCTGCAGCACAGAGCCCTGGCTGGGGTCTCCTCCCTGGGGAGCAGAGCATGACCGGCCCCTCACCACTGCAGCATCCCTGGGGGACAGCGGGTGCACGGGCATGGCAGGCAGGGACCCCGATGCTGCGCTGACCCCGCTGCCTGTCCCTGCCTCCCCAGCGCTGCCTACGGCCTCATTGTCCGCCCCAATGACTTCGCTTCCTACCTGCTGGCCATCGGCATCTGCAACCTGCTCCTCTACTTCGCCTTCTACATCATCATGAAGGTGGGAGGCGAGCGGGCTGTGTGGGGCGGGCAGCACAGGGCCGGGCCCCCCGCAGCCCCTTGCTGCACGCTGACCCCGCCTGCCCCACAGCTCCGCAGCGGGGAGCGCATCAAGCTCATCCCCTTGCTTTGCATCATCGGCACCTCCGTGGTCTGGGGCTTCGCCCTCTTCTTCTTCTTCCAGGGGCTCAGCACATGGCAGGTGAGTGGTGGGTGCTGCAGGGGGTGTTGGGGGGTGCGGACCGGCGCCGTGATGGGGGTCCCTGTCCCCAACAGAAAACCCCGGCCGAGTCCCGGGAGCACAACCGCAACTGCATCCTGCTCGACTTCTTCGACGACCACGACATCTGGCACTTCCTCTCCTCCATCGCCATGTTCGGCTCCTTCCTGGTAGGTGCCGGCTGCCGCCGCACGGCTCCCATATCCCTGGTCCCCCCCCGGCTCACCCGGTCCCCTCGCCCCGCAGGTGCTGCTGACGCTGGACGATGACCTGGACTGTGTCCAGCGGGACAAGATCTACGTCTTCTAGGGGCCCGCAGCCGCCTGTGCCAAACGCAGCCCTATGGGTCCAGCCGGGCCCCACCAGCCACTCCGTCCCCTCCCCGGGGGTCCCGGTGTGCCTCGTCCCCACCGCCGGCTCCCTCCCGGCTCTCCGTGCCCGTCCCCAGGCTCTCAGAGCCAAAACCAGGGCTAGGGGCTGCTGGTGCCACCGGCAAAGGTGCTGCTGCCGCTCCGTGCCCGTGCCGTGGGGCAGGGGCCCTGGGTAAGGGCCGTGCCAGCAGCCCCGTGCCCCCAGCATGCGGGTGGGGGTCTCTCTTCAGTGCCTGAATCGTGGGGATGGGGGGGGTGTGGGCCCGGCAGTGGCAGCCGGGGGGGGGCCCCACTGGTGTCTGCTGCAGCAGCCCGGGGGGTGCCAGCCCTTGTGTGCCCCCCGACGGGGCCGTGGCGTCTCCACGCGTGGGTCTGCTGGGAAGGGACTCGCATTAAAGTGTCTGCACTTTGCCTGTTGCCTCCTCCCTGGGTGCCGGGGGGCAGTGGGGGGGCAGCGAAGGTGCCGGTGCCCGTCGGGGGTCGCTGGGAGCGCCCTGCGCCGGCAGCTCCGCGGCTATAGAAGGCCGGGCTGCGCCGCGCAGAGGCACGCGGGGAATGCGCGGGCGCGAGGCGCAGCCCCCGATTTTCGGAGTCTTTCCCCAAATATGGTGCCGGGGCCGGCGCCCCCCGGGACGGGAGGGGCCGGGGCGGGGGGAACCGGGGACCCCCCCCGCGCTGACATCACCGTCCCGGCGCCCGGCTTTTAGCGCGGGGCCGCCCTCCCCAGCGCGCAGTGCCCGCTCCGCGCCGCGCAGCACCCGCGTCCGACTGCACCGCCCGTGAGTGTGCGGGGAGGGGCCGGGGGGACCGCAGCCATGGGGACCGGTGCCCGGGATGGAGCCGCTGCCGCCGGGATGGGGATCGGGGCCCCGGGATGGGATCGAGCTCTGGGGATGCGGCTGCTGCTCCTGCCCCCCCCAGCACCACGCTGCGAATGGGGTCAGGGGCTGTGGATCGGGCAGGCTCAGCCCCACGGTGGCCGGAGGGGCTGTGTGGGGCTCAGAGAGTGTGGAGGGGGCGATGCCAAACCCCACTCACCGCTGTATGCCCCATATCTCTGCCTGGGGACCAGAGAGAGGCATTGGGCTGGTGCGGTCTCAGGCATCTGGTGGCCAGCAGGCACGGCCGAGGGGTGGAGGGAGCTGTGACCAGTGAGGCTGGGGCCCAAATATCATCACCGTGTGCCCAGCTGGGACATGGCACAGGGCATTGCTGGATGTGGCTGCTGGTGCTCAGGATGTGGGCATTGGCTTCCTGTGGGGCTCATGGGACACCCCTACATGGGCTCATGGGGTATCAGCGCTTGGCCGGCAGCAGGCGGGGTCAGCATCCTCTGCCGCACGGAGCTGTGCCCGGTCTCAGCCATCCCAGAGGATCCAGCGGTCGTGGGGAGCCATCCCGGGGCAGGGTACGGCCGTGGGACCAAGCCGGCGGCTCCCCAAGGGCACAGCCCCGGTTCTGAGGCTTAACCCCAAGCAGGGAGCAGAGCGGGAGGAGCGGGGCAGCGCCACCGAGGGCTGGGCTCCCGGCTCCCGGCTCCATTCCCGCCTGGCATCCTCCTGGCACCCTGCAGCTACCTGTGCTCCCAGCCCACAGCATGTCCTTACAAGGGCACGGGCACGGCTCCCACCGCATCCTGCCTCGCCTGCGCTCCTCCTGGCGCCTGGAATCACGGCCCCACTGTGCCACGGTCAGCAGCCATGGTCAGCCTGCATCCCAATGGGGAGAGCTCTGGCTGCAGGATGCAGCCACACCAGCAGTGTTGGTGCCAAGAGCTGGCAGGCGGCTGAGGCTGGGATGGGGCTGCCCTGTGGCACATCCGAAGCCTTGGAGCAGGGAGAGGGCAGCTCTGCTGCAGGGGCTGTGGCTGTGCCCTGAGGGAAGAGCTCTTGGAGGACGGCCCGAGGTGCTGGGGTCCCACAGTCCCCATCCCTGCCCCAGGTCTCCCACGTGCCGCAGCGATGGCGAACAAGGGCCCTGCGTACGGCATGAGCAGGGACGTGCAGTCCAAGATCGAGAAGAAGTACGACGACGAGCTGGAGGAGCGCCTGGTGGAGTGGATCGTGGCGCAGTGCGGGGCCGCCGTGGGGCGCCCCGAGCGCGGCCGCCTGGGCTTCCAGGTCTGGCTGAAGAACGGCATCGTAAGTGTGGGGCCGTGGGGCAGGCGGTGGGGGGAGCTCCGCAGCGCAGTGATCCCAGGCTCTCCTCTGCCCGCAGGTCCTCAGCAGGCTGGTGAACAGCCTCTACCCCGACGGCTCCAAGCCCGTGAAGATCCCCGACACCCCCCCTACCATGGTCTTCAAGCAGATGGAGCAGATCGCCCAGTTCCTCAAGGCAGCCGAGGACTACGGCGTGGTCAAGACCGACGTGTTCCAGACCGTCGACCTCTTTGAAGGTGTGTGGGGAAAGCGGGGTTGGGGAGGGATGGGGCTGCTGCGCTGTGCCCATCCTCACCGCCTCCATCCGTTGCAGCCAAGGACATGGCGGCGGTGCAGAGGACGCTGATGGCGCTGGGGAGCCTGGCGATCACCAAGAACGATGGGCACTACCATGGGGACCCCAACTGGTTCATGAAGTAAGCGTGGGGAGAGCCCGGTGCCGGGCGTGGGGACTCCCCTGCCCCATGGCAGCGTGGAGCGGGCTCTTCCCACTGCCGGGATGCAGGAATGGCGGGTGGGTGCGCATCCCTGGTGAAGGCATCCCAGGGGATGCGGGTGCTGCATGTCCTGTCCCTCCATCCCATAGGAAAGCGCAGGAGCACAAGCGGGAGTTCACCGAGAGCCAGCTGAAGGAGGGCAAGAACGTCATCGGCCTACAGATGGGGAGCAACAAGGGGGCATCACAGGCGGGGATGAGCTACGGCCGGCCCCGGCAGATCATCAGCTAAGGTCCCCCCCCTACCCCGCGCCCGCTGCCCCCGGCCCAGCGCCGGGGCCGCCACCGCCAGCGCCCTCACACTGGTATTTATTGGCACGATCGCGCCCGCCATCGCCAGCGCCGCTCCGCAGCCATGGGCTGAGCCCGGAGCCACCGCAGCCACCGCCGCAGAGCCGCTCGCATCGGGGAGGGAGCAGAATTGGCCTCGGTTTTGTACTTGGGCTTCGGTCAACATTAAAAGGTTCTTCATTAGCGCGGCTCCGGGCACGCTCCCTCCATGCACCCCCCGTTATGGTGCAGCCGCGTCTGGGCAGCACCTGAGGATGCTCCCTGCTCTGCCCCGGGTGGAGCATCCCTGTGGATCCCGGCTGCAGGAGCATGGGAGAGGGCGGGCGGGGGTGAGTGACGGCTGCGCAGCGCAGGGATGGAGGGAGGGCAGGGGAGGGTTTTCCAGGCTTTATTTGGAAAGCTTCACAAAAGGGCTCTGCTCATTAAAAAACCAACCCCGGCGCTAGAAAAATAAACCCAGGGACACGGGAAGGAGCCAGCCCCGCGCTGAGCCGCTGCCAGAGCAGCTCAACCGCCCCTCTCCAGCCCCACCGCGGGCATCACCCATTGCCCCCTCCATCCCGGGCACCAGGGGCAGGGATTGGTGCCCTGGTGCCTCCTGCCTGCCCAGGGGCACAGCGCACAGGCTGGAGATGGGCACAAGGCTCCCTTCTCCTACGCTGGGCCCAAGTAGTGGGCACGGGCCAGCCCCTAGCCCAGTGGGGCAGGGAACAGCAGCGCTGTGGGGGCCCTGCCGCAGTGTCCAGGCTCACTCTGCAGGGTTCAGGGCCAAAGCAACGCTTCTCCCTGGCCATGGAAGCAGTGATGTGGGGGGGGGCTCGCTGTGGGGAAGCCCTGAGCATCACTGCAGGGCAGGCTCCTTAGGAATAGGTTTAAGGCTTGCTTTGTGCTCCAGAGCGAGGGAAGGGGAAGCTCCCCTTCCGCTGCCAGCACTCTCCTCCTGCATCCTGAGCCGCTTCCTGCCACCTCCCGCGGGACACAGGGCTCAGGGAGCCCGTGCAGGGAAGGATGTACCCGTACCAAGGGGGTGTCACAGCCTCACCCCCAGCCCCAGCTAGCACGGCCGCTGCTCCCCGTCCTCCCCCAGCAGCTCTGCCGTCGCCTCCCGGCCACTGGGCGCTTTGGGGCTCCAGGACCGCTCCTCCCCATCCCGGCCTGGCTCCGGGTGCTCACACTCCAGCTCCACATCCTCCGGGCCCTTCTCCCGGTACAGCGGCACGGACTCCATCTCCAGGCCGCTCTCCAGGGCTCTGTGCTTCCCTCCCTGCTGGTACCATCTGCAGGCGGTGGAGCCGGTGCAGGCCAGGTCCAGCCCCGCGTTGTTCCTGGTCAGGCAGACCTCCAGCATGTAGTAGAAAGTCCAGAACACAGCGAAGCATCCGAGCAGCAGGAGGGTCTGCAGGGGAGGAAGCCCCTTCAGAAACAAAGCCCTGCCCCAATGGCCAGCACTGAGGCTCAGCACCAGGAGGATCAGCGGGGCTGGCTCTCACTCTCCCTTATGGCAGAGGATGGGGTCCCCCTGCTCGGTGCCAGCCCCAGTGTCCCCCTCCCATGGGCAGGCTCACCTTGAGGGTGTTGGCGGTGATGGTGAAGCGCTGCTCCTCTGGGATCTCCAGGCCTGGAGGGCAGGGCAGGGAGAAGTCGCTGCTCAGGTACTGCCCGCTCATGGCCTCCTCCAGCAGCCTGTGGGACCGAGGCACACATGAGGCTCCCATAGGAAGGGCTGCTCCGGGAGGGTCCCCAAGGCACACATGAGGCTCCCATAGGAAGGGCTGCTCCGGGAGGGTCCCCAGGGTCTCTTCCATCACTGTGGGCTGCTCTCCTGGGTCAAACCCAGCCACTGAGCTGTTCCTATGGCCCACAGCCCCCCTGTGCTGTGTATTGAGGGCAGCCCCATGGCCCTGTGCTAGGGGCTGCTGACCAGGCTGCAGCTCCACCCTCCATGCAGCTCACAGCAGCCCTGCTCCAGGCAAGCAGTGCCTCAGGATGGTGTCCCCAGCCCTCCATTAAGGATCTCCCCATCAGGACAGGGCTGTGGTTCCCACCTCTGCCGCTCCTTCATCTCCACTGGGGACCAGGAGGAGCCGTACAGGGTCAGCTGCCACTGCTTCAAGGTCCCAGGCCTGAGGCTCTCGTCTCCTGGGGAAGGAACAGGTTGGTGCAGTGGGAACTGTCCCACCCCATGGCCACAGGGAGCTGCTGCTGCACCAAGGTCCAAGGGCCGGACTCACCCATGTCCCTGATGACCAGTCTGTAGGTGCCCTGCGCCTCCTCGCCCCAGCACCTGACCGTGGAGAAGGTCCAGTCAGCAAAGCCATTGGGGTCCCTGCCAAAGGGGGAGGAGAAACAACCCCTGAGAGGGGCTGGACTGGGCCCCACTGGGTGTCCTGCCCTGTGTCCCCCCCCGTGCTTACGAGTCCATGCTCCTGGCGGTGCCTATCAGGGACATCATTCCGCTGGGGCAGAAGAGCCGGATCTCCAGGTTGCCGCGGCGGGGATGGGTTATGGTGACGGTGACGGCCACGTGCTCCAGGGTTCTCATCCCGGATTGCTCCAGGTCTGCGGTGCTGACTGGGAAAGGGCAGGGGGTTGGGATGGAGCCCCCACTTCACAGGAGACACGTGCTCATCCCTGTGCCCTGCTGCTCCCTGCCTCAGTGCAGCCAGGATGGAGAGGATGGGGGGACAGGGCTGAGCAGGAGGGGTTGGGGAAGGGGGGGAGCTGGCTCCTGGGCATCTCCCAGCACACCCAAAGCAGGAAGGTGACAGGAGCCCAGGCCTTGCCCTGCTCACAGGGAGGGACCCAAGGCCCTGCCCTCTCCTCCACCAGCAGCCTCTCGCCTGCATCCAAACCTCATGTCCCAAGTGGGGCCCTGCTGATCCCTACAGGCCTTGTGCCATGGGCTCCGTGACAGCCAGCCTTCTCCCTCCCAGCCCTGACTCACAGCCTGTGGGCGCTGTGGCCATGCTGGGGGCCGAGCTCTGCTTCCCACTGGTAGCAGCCGGAGCAGCGCCTTGTTTATGTGGACAGAGGGAGGCCAAGTCAGGAGCTGGAGCATTACCTAAAATGGTCAGAGCCAGAGGAGCAGGTCTGGCTGCTGCCCAGCCCGGCCACGCTCCCAGTGCCTGTCTGGCTCCGCAACGGCATCGCTCCGTGGGATGGAGCTATGGGGAGGGGACCCCATGGACCCACAGGGCTCCCCTGGGGAAGGCAGAGGAAGCAGAGAGGAAGAAGCCCAGGCAGCCGATGCTTAACCCCTTGGTGCCCTCGCACAGCCCCTGCCTGGCAGCAGCTCTGCCCCATGCCACGGGGCCCGGGCTGGATGTGGCTCCCAGCGCATGCTCTCACCGTTCCAGGCAGCCTCCAGCTCCCGTGGCAGCAGCGGGATGCTCCGGCCCTCCCGCAGGGCCGGGCTCACGTAGGAGGCGAGGAACGGGACCGACTCCCAGACCTGCAGGGAAAGGAGAGGATCCAGCATGAGGATGCAGCCGCCCAGCACATCCCATCTCTGTCTCCCACTGCTCCTGAAGCTGCTCCCTGTCGGTGGGCCAGGAGCTCTGTCCTGATGCTGCTCTGGGGCACCCCGGCAGCACAATGGGGCTGGAGGAGTGGCAGGAAGGTGATGGCCTAGGGCTGGAGGGGCCAACTGAGGCCTGGGACTCCCCATCCTGGGTTTGCCTTTGCCATCACCCAAGTGGCTTTAAGCAGTAACTTGAAGCCGTTCTGTTTCAACCCCAGGTACAGCAGGGCAGGAAACACAGACTGGTAGTACCACAGAGTGGTTTGGGTTAGAAAGGGCCTTAAAGCTCATCCAGTCCAGGGACCCCTTCCACTGGAGCAGCTTGCTCCAAGCCCCTGTGTCCAACCTGGCCTTGAGCACTGCCAGGGATGGGGCAGCCACAGCTTCTCTGGGCAGCGCCTCAGCACCCTCACAGGGAAGAGCTTCTGCCTGAGAGCTCAGCTCAGTCTCCCCCTGGCAGGTTCAAGCCATTCATGGCAGAACCCAGAGGCCTGCAGGAAGAGAGCAGCCTGAAAGTCCCTGTGAAACAGGGGCATCGCTGGCCAGCAGCAGTGACCCGGCACAGCTACAGTGCTCTGAGCACGAGCGAGGACCAGGTGCCAAAGGGATGCGCCTCGCTCTCACTGGGAGGGAGGGATGGGGATGCCCTGTCCTGCTCTGAGCACAGCACTGCCTCTGCACCCCCAGGGCTGCCAGCTCAGGACCCCGTCTGCTGGGGCCTGCAGACCCTGCGCAGGGAGGAGGGTGCTGATGCTGCTGATGGAGCTGCCCAAGCCATGAATCAGAGCTGTCGTCTCGCAGCAGCGGAGGCTCTCGCCATGGCTATATATAGTGCTGGGAGCACTGCAGCTGGGGCAGGCCTCAGCCTCATGACTTCATCCCCAAAGCAGCCTCACAGCCAGACCATGGCCAAAGGCTGGCCCTCGACAGCAGCCGTGCCTCCCCCCGGCACTGCCAGCACGGGAGCCGTGTCCGTGGTGGCACGGGGAGGGCATTACCTTGGCAGCGTTCACCAGCCTCCAGGCGTTGAGCAGCCCGAAGCCGTGCTGGTGGCTGTGGCTGAAGCCCGCCCGGTTGGTGTCCCACTTGGCGTGCCGGTCCTCGTACTGCAGTGAAGCACAGGGCACTCCTTACCCTGGGGGCAAACCCATGGCAAAGGGACCAGGCCCCGAGGGAAGGAGGCTCAGGAACGTCCCGCAGCGGAGGGAAGGAACCCACATGGCCTTATTAGACAGGAACAGGTTGACCTTTGAAGCAGGTCCCGGCACAAACAGGCTTCCCAGCTCCTCAGAAAGGAAATCAAGCAGCACGAAAGGGCACAAATGCCTCTGCTCTGAAACATCCCAGCTGCTCCCTCAACCCCAGGCCGTGGGATGGCAGGAGCTTGGTGAGAAGGAACCAACTCCTTTAAATCAACAAGAGCTGGGCCAGGACAGATCTGGGTCCCATCACTTATGGGGTTGTAGCGCTCCAGCAACACGGGCCCGCGGTTGTGGAAAACACTGCCCTGTGCCAAAGGGAGCACAGCACGGGCTGGACACGGACCCCTGCTGCCAGAGGGTGTGGAAGAAGCCCTGTCCCGAAGCCGAATTGGGCAGCTCCAGTCAGTTCCCCTCCTACTCCTGATCCCTGCAGTGAAGCTGTGCTGAAGTGGAGGCCGAGCGAAAGGAAGGGCTGGTTGCTCCCCAGCTCTCCATTCCATGTGTTCCCAACAGCCTGTCTCTCTGGGGAGCCCCAGGAAAGGCAGGAGCAGGGCAGAGATCCTTGCTTTCCCCCTGCATGGGCTGCGGGGTGGCACTGAGGAGCTGCACCCATCCCTTTGGGCAGGGATGCACTGCGTGCGCGCAGTGCGTGCGAGGCATGGTGAGCCCCTGAAGACCTGTACCCTGGCAGATGGAGGCATTCCTGAGGCAAATACCCCATTTATTATCCTGACAGGGGAAAGTGCTCCAGCCACATTCCTGGAAGGAACACGGGGTGAGGGGAAAACGTAATCCCTTTGGGAGCCAGACAAGCGAGGGATTTATAGAGGAGCAGGCAGACGTACACAGGGATGCGCACAGCAGGAGCAGGGGCAGGGGCAGGGGGGCCAGCGCTCACCTTGGTGGCGGTGAAGACGATGATGTGCTGGACATCCCTCCAGGTGAGGCAGGGCCGTACCTGCAGCATCAGGGCGATCATCCCTGCTGCGAGCGGAGCAGCGGCTGAGGTCCCGGTGTGCCCCTCCGTGCAGCCCGTGCCCTTCTGCAGGTCCCAGTCCGTGGTCACCTGCAGGGGGAACAGAGATGCCTCCGGTCAGGGCACTGCTCCCATGCTGGGATAGGTGTAGCCCACAGCCCCTCGCTGCGTCAGCTCTGCCATGCTCCCAGGGTGCAGCACACCGCATCCCAAGCCTGTCCCCCTCCTTACAAGGCTTCCAGATGGAACAAGGTCGTTCTCTGGATGCTCAAGGATCCCCCCTCCGGAGCAAAGGCACGGGGAGGCGGTCCCTGCGCCCTGCCTGCATGACCCCCAGCCCATCTCCCTGTCTCCCAGCATCCATCCCCACAGGCTGCTGCCCCTGGACCGCAGGGAGGAATCTGCACACAGGAGCTCCCTGTCTGCCTGTGGCTGCTGAGATGAGGCTGGGGATAGCAGGGGCAGCCAGAGATCCCATCGCCCTGCCTCAGACAGGAGCAGGGCAGCAGGACAGGGTCAGGGATTAGCTGCTGGAAATGCTTCCCAGGCAGCTCCCAGCCAGGATGTGGGTACCAGCACAGAGCAGCACAAGGAGGGCCGGACACCAGGACACCAGGGCAGGAGGTAGGGCCCGGAGCTGGGATCCAAGTGGGGCACATCCAGCTTGAGCACAGAAGCTGGACCAGCTCTTCTGAGAAGCTTCTGAGTTCAAGCAGGCTCCCTGGGGCTTCAGAGGGGCCATCGCTGCCCCTGCGCATGCAAACCAGTTCACCATCCAGCCCCAGGCTGCAGCACCACGAGTGCAATCCAGGGCACCTGCACACAGGCACAGCCACACTGCCCTAGGACCAACCCAGGGAGCTGCTGCCACCTCTCACAGGGACCTGGCAGCAGGGATGAGAAGCACCGAATGCAGATCATCTCCTTTAGGGAAAGAGGAACCAGGCCCGAATTAAGCAACTCCAGGGGAAACTCATGGCAGTTACAGCCTGGGAGCTTCCCCATTTCATTGCTGACCACAGCGTCACAACCAGCACATGCAGAGGGACCACATGGGACCGCACAGAGCCTTGAAGAGGCAGTGGGATGCTCCCAAATGCTGGCACCTCACTGCAAGCCGAACGTGCCCATCTCCCTGTGCTCCCCATGGGGTACAGCCTGACTCCCTCACGCTGTGTGCTCAGATGCTGCACATCCCACAGAGAACCCCCCAGCAGCATGGGCTGCAGGAGGAAATGCAGCTGGTGCCAGGAGCTGGATGGAATTCTTCCCATTAAGGAAACCACAGGGGTTTATAGGCTGGTAAAAGAGAGAGCCCACAGAAGGCTGCTGAGAGCTTAACTCTGACACCACCATGGCACAAGGAACGGGCATTGCGGGCACGTTACCCTGCAGGACAGGGTGTGCAGGTTGGAACGTGCCATGGGCTCGCCAAAGGAGCGGCTGTGGTGCTGCCAAGGAGCAGCATGGTGTCCTGGTATGAGGCATCCCATCCTGCCTCCCCTGAGCAACACCAGCTCCTCCATCAGTGTCCCATGGGGCTTTAAGACCTTGCAAGCCTTCGCCCCAGTGGCAGGCTCAGGGGAAGCTGAACCAACCCAGAAGCCTGTAACGGGTGGTGAAAGCACAGCAGAGCCCTTGCTTGGCCGCTCTTCCCTTCTTCCCTGGTGCCAGGGGTTTCCAAACCAGCCTGGGACAACTGAAGCCATTTCTGAAAGGGAAAACCAGCTCCGCTCTGGGTTTTCCTTCCCCTGCCACACTCCCAGGCGTTTTGCACTGAGCCATAGCCAGGCACGGATCCCCTGGGGCTGCGCTGCCTCATCCAGCCTTTGGGCATTCCCAGCAGGAGACCCCAGGCAGTGCCATCCATCCCCAGTGCCCCAGGGTGCCTCGGGCTCTCAGACAGGGCACAGCAGGACAGGACTGGCTCAGACCCCCCAAGCATAGGAACGCGCTGGGTCAGGCCTGGGGCCGGTGGAGCCAGGCCCAGCTCCTTGGCTCGGGCAAAAAGGACATTTTGTTGACAAGAAGTCACTTTTTGGCAAAAAAAAAAGAGAAAAGCTGATAAAAATATTGTGCAGAATTGAGCCGGGAGAGGCACAGGGGCCAGCACAGGCAGGAGGATGGGGCCAAGCAGCTTAAAGAGCCCGACGCTGCTCCCAGCCTGTCCATGCTTTGTGCCCTGGGGAGCAGAAGTGAGGGGTCTGCCTGGAGCCCCTTTTCCCCCCCGGAAAGCCGCAGTGGCACGAGGGTCTCGCTCCAGGCTTCCTCAATGTGCAACAGAACCCAGCTGGGATGAAGCTGTTCTCCTCTGGCTCTGCCTGGGATGGGGCTGGAGCAGCTCCCAGATGCCATTCCCATGGACACAGCGCAGAGGAATTCCTTAGGGGTCACCCAAGCATCCCCCTGGTGATGGCAGGAGACGCCTGCTCCAGCTCCCAACAGTGCCGGGCATGGAGATGAGGGAGCGTGGTCCCTGTCCCTGCGAGGACACAGGGAGGATCCGTGCTTGGCCACCCTTGCAGAGGGGGGGTCACCACGCTCCATGGTACAGGCTGACAGGGACAGCACAGCAACAACCCCAAACAGGAAGCTGCCTCCCAGGGCACTGCTTATGCAGGACCTAGATAAACCCCATGTTTATCTCTGCCTCACAAGGGAACCCAGCCACCAGCCTGAGGCAGACATGCGGCAGGCAAAGGGACTCTGACTCTGTCCCTTCTCCACTCCGGGCTGTTCCAGAGCCTTGGAACCCATGTGCCCCATGGGGTACTCACAATGCTCCTCATCATCTTGTCCCCGCCGCTGAAGGTCACTGCTAACATAGAGGCGCATTCCTCGGCATAGAAGGGCATGGAGCCTGTCTCGTCCACCGCACCTGGAAGAGGCAGGAGGGAGCCTGATCTTCCACCCCTCCCGCAGCTCCTGCCCTCGAGCCCGTCATGGGGATGCTGTGTTTCAAGTCACTCCCTCAGCAGCAGTGCCTGTCCCAGCCCCAGCAAGAGAGGCCTGCACACGGGAATGCCTCTGGCCTCCTCTAGCTCTGTAGGTGCAAAGGAAACAGCAGGCCTGAGGGTGACCACTGCCACGCTCGCTCCCAGAGGACAGCCACCCTCCCATAGATTCCCACTATCCAGCCAGGAAGGTGCAACACCTTTGGCAGGGAATGAGCCAGCAGACACCCGCTCACCTATGGTGACAGTGTAGATGGAGTTGGCGTAACCATCATAGTTGCAGTTGTCGTTGTGCTGCCCGCCGTTGCCGCTGGCCACCACGAAAATGCTCCCAAAGCCCCTGCGCCCTGCGATGACGCCGTGCTGCAGGGCAGCCTGCGGAGAAGGGAATCATCTGGGAATGGCCAGCCTATGGCTCCCTGCGAGGGTCAGGAAGAGGAGGGAGAAGAAAAGCAACCCTGCAGGTAATGAGAGCACAAAGCCAGGCAGAGCTTGACCCCCACAGGGACACCAGCACCCCCCCAGCTTCACAGGTGGCTCCTCAAGGCTTTCCTGCCCACACGTGGCCTCTCTGCAAGGCTCCAGCCCCCACGGCTTTGCCTTCACTGAGAAACAAAGGTGAAGGCAGGCACTGGAGCAGGCAGAGAGGCTCCACACACAGTGCTGTGGCAGAGCAAGCTTTGCTTTCCTTGCACCCAGCTGCCTCTGCATGCAGGAAGAGAGCAGCTTAACTTGCAGAACTGGAAACCATTTGTCACCCTGGACCGACAGCTCGGCTGTCAGCATTGCTCCAAGGCTGACTGCTAGCTTCTGGTTACAGAAGTACAGCAAGGGGCTGCCAAGCAAAAGGGAAATGAAGCAGAACCGCATCCCAGGAGCAATGTGCTGCCTGGTTTGGGGCTGCCTCTGACCCCTCACCACGGCACCTGGGTGTGTTTAGTCCCTTACTCACTCCTAGCATCCGAAGCAGATGAGCTCCAGAGCAGAGAGCGTCCCTTGGGCTGCCAAGGCTGGGAGGACACCAGCACAGGTTGCGAAAGAGCCTCTTCCTGCTGGAACCAGCCTCTCCCTGGGAAGCTGAGCTAATGCTGCCTGAACACTGCCCTCCCACAGCAACGTCACCTCTCCCCAGCACGGTAACACCTCTGCTGGCAGCCCCGGGAGCAAGGAGATGTGCACTGCAGCCCAGCAACGGCACCCCAGGGGTGACCGAGCTGCTGGGGCTGGTTTTACCTTTCCCAGTTGATGGGGGCCATCCACGGTTTTCCCATCATCATCTGGACCCCAGCTGCAAAGAGAGACACCAAGAAGTGACAGCGCAGGTGCTGCAGGCTCCAACTCCCCCGCCCATTGCAGTTTCCTGCTCCCAGTACAGGACTGGGATTGGAGGGAGCTGAACCTCCCCATCCACCGGGCTGGCCCTGGCTGCTGGGGTATCGCTGCCATGGCTGAGCTGTGCCCCTGGGTCAGATCCCAGTGCACAAAATGCTTGATTTTTCGTTAACAGCCAGCTTCAAACCCATTCCAGTGCCCAGAGAGGGCTCCCCCACCACAGGGAGTCACAGTGCCCCCTCCAGCTCAGCCAGCCCATGGGACCTGCCCCAGCAGAGCACAGAGGATCCCGGTAACAGAAATGCTGATGGTCCTCCTAACAGACCCCTTGAGGCACGCTCATGGACACACCAACAGTGCTGGGTTTGGTGCCTCCAGGCTTGCTGGAGCCACAGGAGGAGCCGTGACCCCGTTCCCAGGCTCACCTGCAGCTGTAGATGTCATTGATCTGATAGTGCTTGTTGAAGGCAATGGCCTCCATGCTGTCGGTGAGGGGCCCGTCCAGCACTCGGATGCCTGCAGGGCAGAGGGCAACAAACACGAGGGCAGCGGAGGATCAAAGCGAGCTGCACCAACAGAGCAAACAGGCTCCTTGATGCTCGCACTGACACTGCCCCTCCCAGCCTGATGGAGCTGTAACCCTGCAGCTCCGTGCATGGGGGCTATGTGTGAGTGAGGGACTGGAGGTGCACCCTGCACAGCTCCACACCTGCTGGACACAGCTTTCTGCCAAGCCAGGCCCAAGCTCCCTCTGCCAGAACCAAGCTGGTGTCGGTGACAGCACAGCCAAACACCGGCTGGGCTCACTCCTGTGTGCCCCTGAGCACTGCTCCCCAGGGGCTTCCTCACGCCCCAACCTCAATTATCCCACTGCTTTCAGGGCTAATCTCTGCATGGGGCAATCGCTTCCCTTCCCAGGTCACCAAGCAGCACTTTGGGGATGGATGGCATGGTTGCCTGCGGAGGGAAGGGCTCAGGAGACGCAGGACACCCTGACTACTGCGCATGGAGCAGGAGGGCAAGGTCACCCCGCAGCAAAGCCAACAGAGGCTCAGTGCTGAGTCTGCACGCCCCAAAGCACTGATAATTACCGCTCTGCATCAGCGTTTAGGCTGGCAAAGGACATTACAGATGAAACCAGGCACACACACCTCAATTAAGACTATTTAGCAGCCGCGCTCCCACCCACCCATCCCAGCTCTCGCCTGACGCAGCACACGCGGCTTTTTACTGCCCCATCCGAGCGCCTCATGGAGCGCTGAGCGCAGGGCAGGGGGGCAGAGCTGCGCCCTTGGCGAGCTCCCGATCCTCTGGATCCCATCGGCAGCCCGGGATACCCGCTCCCATCCCGCAGTCCCAGCCAGGGGAAGTGGCACCATCTGCCGAGCGCAGAGAGAATCGCGGCCGGGCTGCGCTGCACGTTGTCACTGCCTGGGTCAGGCTGTGCACTAGGGATGTACGGATGCGCTTCTGCCCAAAGCCACCCCAGCACACAGCTATCCCACCGCGCCAGGAAGTGCCTCCCATGGGGAGTTCCTCCCTCAACATCCCAAAGAAGGATCCAGCTCACTCGGAGCCAGCCCTTCCATAGCCCCCAGCACCGGAGCTGAGCCAAGCCAGGCACGACCGCAGCACTTGGGGGCGTCACGGTCACGCCATGCGCCCACCTGCGATGCGGCTCCCGTAGGCGACTCCCACGGTGCAGAAGCTGTTGTTGGGCACGGCAGCGATCTCCCCGGCGCAGCGCGTCCCGTGGTGGTTGCCGTTCTCCTCGTCAGGGTGAGGCATGGGGTCGGGATCGTTGGAGTTCAAGTCGTAGCTGCCTTCCGGGCTCTGCAAACAGACCCACAGTCACCGATCTGCCCTTGGGAGAAGCAGGACTTCACAGCGGGCTGCAATACAGCCTGGAAGCAATGGGAACTTAGAGGATGCATCCATGCAGGAGCGCAGCTCAACACTGCTGCCTCCTGCTGTGGGAATGGGATGGGCAGAGACAGCTTCAGCAGCTGCTGTGGGTCAGAGGGAGCCAGCTCTCACCTCCAAGCAGCTACAGGTAGCACAAAGGCTGGGAGCCCGGCAGCATCCCAGGGAAAGCTTTCCCATTGGCGCTTCCCCCCCCCGGCCAAGGCTGTGGGGCAGGCAGGGCTCAGTGCCCCCTGCACTCACGTAGTTCGGCTGGATGTCCTTGATGGTGTGCTCCACGCCATCATCCACCACCACCACCGTCACGCCGCGCCCCGTCACGTTCCGCTCCCACACCCCCGTGACGTTGATGTCCTTCCCGGGGCTCCTGCGGTTGTTCTGCGCACCGGAGAGGGAAAGCGGAGCAGTGCATCAGGCACGGGGGGTACCCCGCGGGGTGACCCCGAACCCCCCCGGGCAGCAGGCCCCGCACTCACCAGGTGCCACTGCAGCGGGTATTTGGGGTCGTTAAAGTGCAGGCTGCGCTTGGAGCGCTTGAGCAGCCTCTGCTCCGCGTGCCACCGCACGCTGCCGTGCTGGGCGAGCACCGCGTCCACCGCCCTCCTCACGGCCTCGGCACCGCCGCGCCCGCCGCGCTCGGCCCGGAACAGGTAATGGCCCCGGAGCTCCCCGACGCGGCCCATGTTCACCAGCCCCGCGGCGCGGGCCAGCTCCTCGGCGCGCTGCTCCAGCTCGTCCTCGGGCGCGTCCAGGCTGACGGCCCAGCTGAGCTCACCGGGCCGGGGCGCAGCGCCCGTGCGCTCCCCGGGGCAGGAGGAGGCGAGCGGGACCCAGGCGGCGCTGAGCCAAAGGCATGTGTGGATGCAGAGCGTGGCCTCCATCCCTGCGCTCCATAGCGGCGCGCTCCGCTTCCAATGCCGCATCAGAGAGGCGGGCTGCAAGCAGCGGAGAGGAAAGCTGGTGAGAAACTCTTCCCGCAGCCTCACCTGAGGGTCCCGCGGAGCTCTGCAGCTCCGGGCTCGCCATTCCAGGAGAACCCCAGGCAAGGCGGCTCCTTCCCAGTGCCGCAGCACCGGGACGCCACACGTGCGCTGGGACCGAGCCCAGCGGATCCCAAGCGCTGCAGAACAGGAGCCACTTCCTTGTCTCAGCACGGAACCCAGCGGCCCCCACGCAGCCCCACAGACACAGCTCGGGGCCGCCCCACGCTCCGCGCACAGCCCCACCGCGCCCCTTCCCACCCGCTCCGAGCCGGAGGGTCCGCGGCACCGAGCCCCGGCACTGCCGGGGAATAGGGGGGGGAAGCGCCTCCCGCTGTCCCGCTCCGCTCCGCACCCCAGCACGGCCCCGCGGGGCCACCGCGGCCGCTCTCCCGCCGGAGCCTCTGCGCCTCCCGTACCGGTTCCCGGCCGCGCTGCCCCTCCGGGAGCGGAGCCGCCGCTCCCGTCCCGCCGGGCGCTCACCGGGCACGGGCCGGCGCTGCCGGAACCCCGCGGCCGCTGACAGCGCCGTCACTTCCTGCGCGGCCTCCGCTCCGCCAGGGCGGCGCTCGCGGGCCGGCCGCGCCGCTCTGTAGCGGAAGGGGCGGTGCGGGCCGTGCTGTCCGCTCCGCTCCGCGCCGCTCCGGGCCGGGCCCGGCCCTGCCGCACGCCCCATGGCGCTGGAGCAGGCGCCCACCGACGGCCCCGCCGCCGCGCCCGCCCCGCCGCGCCTCTGCGAGCCCGGCCCCGCCGCGCCCCCCGACAGGTAGGTGCTGGGCCCGGCGCGCCGGGGCGGGGGGCAGCGGCCGCGCACCGATCTGTTTGTTCGCACAGCGGCAGCGCGCTCGCCGCCCCCGACAGCCCCGGCGAGGCGGCGCCGGCCGGGCCCGGCGCGGAGGCGGAGCTGGAGCTGGGGGCGGCCGGAGGTGAGGGCGAGCCCGGGCCCGGCGGCGCGGAGGCCGGCGGCGCGGCGGAGGAGCCCGGCCCCGAGGCGGCCCCGGCCAGGCCCTCGCAGAACATCGCGGTGCAGGTGGGTGCCCGCGGTGCCAACGGGGTTGCTCCGGGCCGGGCGGGTGATGCTGATGGCAGCGATCTCCCATCACAGACGGACTTCAAGGCGGCCGACATGGATGTGAACACGGATCAGGACATAGAGAAGAACCTGGTGGGTATCGCCGCCGTGCCCGCTGCAGGAGCGGGAGCTCTTCCCGCAGGGTGTCTGTAGCCATCGCTACACCAGCCCTGGGGTTCCTGTGCCGTGCCATTCAAGCAGGAGGCACAGTCCCAGCTGCAGCTTTGGGCTGTGCCTCCCGTGGCCTTTGCCCGTCTGGAGGCTGAGCGTTGAAAGCAGAAGGCATTCACCTGTGCCTTCTGCTTGACCATGGCGCATCCAGGGCTCCTGCCCGTTGCTGCGCCTGCCTGCTGTGCCCGCGCTGTTGGTAGCGCGAACGGAGGGGAAGGGTCTCCCTCTATTGCCACCGTGTGCTGCAGGACAAGATGATGTCTGAGAGGGCCTTGCTGAAGGAGCGCTACCAGGAGGTGCTGGACAAACAGAGGCAAGTGGAGAACCAGCTGCAGGTCCAGCTAAAGCAGCTCCAGCAGCGCAGGGAGGAGGAGATGAAGAACCACCAGGTATCTGACACAGTCCTCTCTTTGTCTCACCTCCCTTAGCACTGCTCTTACCCAACTGGGGAGGCTGCTTTGGCCTCGTTGATTAACATCAGGGTGGATTTAGAACCAAAACCCTTACTTGGGAATTTTGCTCCTTACTTGCGTGGTGCTCGTTTGACTCTAGGAGATCCTGAGGGCGATTCAGGACGTTACAATCAAGAGAGAGGAGACAAAGAAGAAGATGGAGAAAGAGAAGAAAGAATTCCTGCAGAAAGAGCAGGATCTGAAGGCAGAAATTGAGAAACTCTGTGAGAAAGGCAGAAGGTATTTGGATGGACAAGAAAGTGTTTGCTTGTGGGGGAGGCACTGCGTAACCCTGATGTGCACCTGATTAAGTAAAACGGGGTCAGTGGAAGCAGTGTTTTGGTGAGTGGTTTTGGACAGAGCTGTCTGGTTCTGGAGGGCTCTGCCACAGACACAGCACCAGTGGTTACAGACATCTCTGAGTGGGTTTGGGGCAGTGGATCATTGCTCTCGGGGCTCAGTGTGCGGGTGGACAGTGCTTGGCAAGGGTAATGTGCAGCTGGGCTCCGTTGCTGCTGTCCCAGTGCTGGAGCAGGGTCTCACGGGCCTTTCCGAGGCTCTGCTGTAACACAGGCTGCGTGCTCGGGGCAGAGAACCTCACTGTGTTCGGTGGGGTCTAATGCAAGCAAGGCACAAGTTATTTGTACAGATGGGAAGGTTCCTTTGGGTGTTGGACCTGTGCTTTACAGAGCCATCCTGTCGCACCACCAAGGGCTGGTGTGTCTTACTCCGAGGGCTCGGTGATGGTTTGGGATAACGCTGCTTTAGGAACAGCCCCAAGAACGCAGCTCCTGTTCCCCCCAGTTGCAGAGCTGTGTTGGCAGCGCGGCACAGCTCCCCACAGCGGGGCTGGTTCTGTGCCACGCTCTTTGTGCAGTGTCATGATACAGCAGGATCTTTGCTCTGGAGGATGTCAGTGGTTGCTTTCAAATGGTATTGAATGGGGCAGCCAGGGGTAAAAAGCCTCCTGTGCCAGCGAGGTGATCACAGTCGGGTTCAGGGCTGGTGATAACCCTTCCACAGCTGTGACCCTGCTTCTTTCTCCCCCATGCAGGCTGCTGAAGGAGCAGGAGGAGAAGGAGAACAAGATTGCGTCGCTGATCGCAGAGCAGTCTGATGAGAAGTGAGGCTCTGCCCGCGTTCACGCTGCTGGGTTCTCTTTCCCCTCCAGTCACTTGGCCTCGGAAGGAATCCCCTGCTGCTGGTGGGGTGGGCTGCAGAGAGTGCTCCGACGGCATCTCCTCCTCCAGCAGCCCTGTCCCTGCAGTAAATCCTCCTTGATCCTGGTCACAAACAGGCTCCTGGATACTTGTGACATAAAGATCCCCTAGGATTAGAGTTTGTGCTCAGGGGATTGACTTGGCTCTAACTGTTAGCTCCGAGTGGATTCCAGCTTCCCAGAGTCAGGGCACTCCTGTTCTCTCCGTGCTTCCCACAGCTGCAGAGCTGCTCTCCACTCCGGCACGCCTGGCTGTGTTAAAGCTGGGCAGAGCAGGGGGAGTCGGGCAGCTCTCCTGCTCTGTGCCGTTCCAGTGCCTGAGCTGGCTTCTGTTCCTGTCTGCAGGCAGCTGTGGGAGATGGAGCTGGATAAGCTGAAGAACCAGCACAATGAGATCAACAGGAACATTCTTGAGGAGACAGAACGGGCCTGGAAGGCAGAGGTGATGTCTCACCTGCAGACAGGGTTGAGGAGCGTCTGTCTGAGATCCCAGATCATTAATGAATGACTGTGGGATGCGGTGTGAGGCTGACCCCTCACTGTGGGACGAGTGAGGGGATCAACAAGTATCAGTGCAGTAAACCTGAGTCTGGAGTGGTGCCTGGTGCCCTCAGCGTGGCTCCGTGGGGAGGTGATGGTGCATGGAGAAACAAGGGAGCACGAGAGCTGCTCCTCATGTGGGGCCTCTCTCTGCTAGATCCTGTCTCTGGAGAGCCGGAAGGAGCTGCTGGTGCTGAAACTAGAAGAGGCAGAAAAAGAAGCAGAGCTGCACCTCACCTACCTCAAGTAAGTTCGTGCAGCCCCAGAAGGGGCAGGTGACTCGTGTCCCTCTGTGCCCATCTCCTCTTCCTCTGCCTGCACTGGTGGTCTGACTGAAGTCAGGGTTTCCTGTGGTTTGCTTACTAAATCCATGGGATTCAGTCGTGTTGCAAAGCAGGGATACGTGGGGCTGTGCTTACTGCCCATTGCTGTTTGCCTGCTGAGCACGTGCTGTGCCCTAGATGGGCGCTGTGGGCACAGGGTTGAGCCCATGCCCTTGTGTCTGTCCGCCAGATCAATGCACTCTGGTGGCACCATCTCTTGTGGGGTGTGGGCCCCTCTTCCCACCAGCCAAGGAGGGGGGTGCAGGAGCCTTTGGGGGTGACCTCTTCCTGCTGTGCTGCCCAGGAGAGCGCGGTGCCGGTGGCAGAGCATAGCTGTGCTTGCAGGTCTGCGCCACCCACACTGGAGACCATGAGGCCGAAGCAGGAGTGGGAGATGAGGCTCAACAGGATACGAATGACCAAGGAAAGCGTCCGAGTGAGTCCCCGGGCTCCCAGCCTGACACTGGGCACCTCTTTGCACTGGTGCTCCTTTGTGTGTAGTTACAGCCCTTTCTGGGAGAGGACCAAGATGTGTGTCCAAAAGCCTGGCACTACCTTTGTAAGCAGCAGCAGTGACTGCCTGCCTGCAGATGCGGGCTTGTGTGTGGACAAGCCCCATTGGGATGGAAGCTGTTAATGGAGAGGCAGTTCCTCTGTTTCTCCTGTCAGGGCCTTTTCACTCCCTGACTCCTGTGGAACCAGAGGGTGTCCGGGGTAGGGCCTGCAGCCACCCTGGGGCTGGTGATGCTCTGCCCAGGCAGGGGATTCTGCCTCAGCAGACTCTTCCCGAAGCACATCTGTTTCTGTGCTCTGGGCTAGGATCAGTTCAACGACCACATTCAGATGGTGAGGAACGGAACCAAGCTGAGCAGTCTCCCGCAGATCCCCACGCCAACGCTGCCCCCTCCGCCTTCAGAGGTGAGTGTCTCTCCAGCCCCGCACAGATGGGTCCTGGGCCTGTACCCGCCTGTGCCTGTGCTGCGTGCACTGATGGAGGCGGGGGGAGACTGTGTCTTCTGGAGGCCTGTGATTGTCCTCTGTCCTTGCCTCCCTGCAGAGGAGGGGCGGGCTCCCTTCCCCTTGCCTTCAGCAGAGCCGTCAGTGCTGCTCCCGCCTGGCTGGGGAGGAGGATGCTCAGCCCTGCTGTCCGATGGGTTTATCCTAACCAGCCTTTTCCTCTCCCCCTGTTTTTCTTTCTCAGACAGATTTCATGCTGACGGCATTCCAGCCCAACCCCTCCCTTACTCCCAGGCTCCCGTTCCCCATCGGACCGGTCCCCGTGCCCATGGTCATGCCGAGCGCTGATCCCCGGGCGCTCTCCTTCCCCCTCCTGAACCCTGCCATCTCCAGGCCCAACCAGCCCTCCCCTCCGCTGCCCGCTTCCCAGGGAAGGAACAGCCCCGTGGTGGCCTCGCTGATGGGCACGCACAGCCCTCACGTGGCCCCCGCGGCCTCCATCCCACCGCCGCCGGGGCTGGCGGGCGTCACCGTGGCTCCGGACTTCCACCGGCTGCAGCCGGCCGACAAGCTGGAAAAGCTCCTGGACAAGCTCTTGGCTCGGTTCCCCCAGTGCAACAAGTGCGTGTGTGCCGGTGTCCTTCCCAAGGGGGTCTGTGCTGAGGGCCATGCTGCTCTGCTGGTGTGTGGGGTGCCCCACGTGCTGGCGGCACTGGGAGCTCTTAGCAGGCTGCTGTCCCCGCAGGGCCCAGCTCACCAACATCCTGCAGCAGATCAAGACTGCCCGGAGGACCATGGCGGGCCTGACCATGGAGGAGCTGAACCAGCTCGTGGCGGCCAAGCTGGCGGAGCAGCAGGAGCGGGCAGCGGCCGGGGCTCAGGTGGGAATGGGGTGCTTGGGTGACCCCAGCTTTCCCTTAGGGAACTCATTTCCTCTTTCCTTCCGGGCTTCTCTGAGGCGCCTTGTCTCCCTTGCTGCAGCCTCTCAGCCGGATCAGGGCACCCATGTTCTCTGCCCCCCTGCCCCAGATCAGTACACCCATGTTCCTGCCCCCGGCCCAGGTGGCTTACCCCGGAACAGCGGCACACGTAAGGCTTTTGGGCTTTCCTGGGGCACTTTGCCATTCCCATGGAAGCCAGAGGGAGGAATTGGTCGTGCTGTGGCCCTGGCTGCAGCTGCAGTGTGGGATATGTGATCCGAGCTGGGGTGCCTGACTTCTGTTCCCTGTCTCCTTTCTGTCCCTTCTTTCACTGCTCATCCCAGAGCCCGGCTGCCTGCAAGCTGTGTCTCATGTGCCAGAAGCTCGTGCAGCCTGGTGACCTTCACCCCATGGCCTGCTCACACGTGCTGCACAAGGAGGTGAGTGCTCCCACTCTGTGCTATGTGCTCCTCATCACACTTCCTAGTGCAGGTTCCCTCCCAGGGCCCTGGGTGTGTGTAGCGAGCCCCTGTTGTACTGAGAGCTCGCCTGGAGCAGGATGTGACCAATGAACAACTCTGCATCCTCTCATCCCTGTTCCTGTGCTCTGAGCTGGGCAAATCGGGGAAAACGGTGTATTGAGGGGGGGCTGATGGTCCTGCTGGCGTGAAGGGGGCTCCCTGCATGGGGCGGCCTCAGGATGGAGGCTGTCACAGCACGTGGATGTTGTGCTGGTGGCTCTTCACTCATGCTCTCTTCCAGTGCATCAAGTTCTGGGCCCAAACCAACACGAACGACACTTGCCCCTTCTGCCCAAGCCTCAAATGACGCTACTGGAAGAGAGCGGTCCCACGGGAGGAGTTGCTGTGAATAGACAGGATCAGTCCTAAGATTTCTACAGTTCTATATTTATACGGCCATGTATACACATGTACATTTTTATTATATAGGTAATGTGTGTATAGAAAGTCTGTATACATACAAATTCATAAATAAAGTGTGTATATTATGCAGTGACCTGCTGCTGCTCCTCACTTCTTAGCTCGCAGCCTTTCCCTTGAGTGGGAGCAGGGAGCCTGGGCTGCGGATGCTCCCCATAACCACCTCTTCTTGCCAAGCTCCTGCTCCGTGCTTGCCACAACCCATTCCCCCCACAGGGCACCTCGCTGCCCCATGCCCCAGCCATCACCCAGCACTGGGCAATGAAGAGCTTCCAGAGCTTTTGTGGTCTCTTTTTTAATGTAGTAATAATTTACCGTGGTAACATTCATTGTTCTTACACAGACAATAGGTTACAGAGTACTGGGGCCTGCAGCGACAGCGGCGGTACCCATCCCGTCCCCATGGCCCTCCTGTGGAGAGGCTGTGCCTGGTGCTGCCGCTCAGAGGCACCATCCTGCTGCTCTTCCCTATCTCCTGTACTTCGTCCTGAAGCCCGGGCTGACGCGCCGACCCTTCTCCATGGATTTCGGTGGGGTTTCGAGGTGCTCAGCACCACCCCAGTCTCGCACTGGCTCCGTAGCATTTCCCCCTTTATCTGCAGTCTGTGGCACGGATTGAGCCCCTGCAGTGCAGCACGCCGGGCTTTGGCCACAGCCCGTGTTCCTAGGCAGCCGCTTGCCAGCGCGGGTTAAGGCAGTGTTCCAGCACGGGGTCCCAGCTCCTGGGCAGGCAGGTCCATGCGCTGTCCCGCGCTGCAGCAGCAGCAGGGCTGGATGGTTGCAGGGCTGGAGGCAGGCATGGCGCGGGCACTGCTTGCAAGCGCTGCTGGTGAAGCGGGTGCATGGAACGGGCTGCGGCGGTGCCTGCTCCTACCCTGCGCCCGCCCGTCTCCTCCTCCCACCTCGCACTGGCTCCCTTGCAGCTTTCCCAAAGCACTGCGGGACTGCAGGAGCGGCTTTCCAAGCTTTCCACGTGGTGGCTCCAGCAGCCCTGCCCTGCCCCAGCTGCCACCCCGGTACCGGTACCGCGGGGAGCCCGTGTCTTCTGCTCACTGAGGAATGCTGCCCTTGAACGGGTGAGGTTTGGTGTTTACAACAAAGCACTTGCCTGGCTGAGGCAGAGCAGTGGGGAACTACAGCATTCCCAACTGCCTGCAGCCCCAGGGGAAGGGGCCTGCAGCAGCAGGTTTGTCCTCATGGACCAGGGACCCCTCCCTGCGCTGGTGGAGCACAGTGAGGCCATCTCTGTGTTCTCCATCTCTACCATCCCCTTGCATCCCCCTGGCTCCACCACCACCTCCTCCAAAACCAGCTCTGCCCCCCTCCCACCCACAAAGGGCTCCCACAGGACACTGCTGAGCTCGCCCTGGCCATGGCTTGAGGCCAAGGCCCCAGGACTGGGCAGAAACTAAAGAGATTTAGAAAAACCCAAACCAAACCCCTTGATGTCGGGGCTGGAGCATTCGAATTTGAGCGCTGGAATTAAAAATAGAGCTCTATGTGTGTATGGTGGAGGTGAGAAGCTGGGGCGCGGCGTGGGACCTGCTATGTACAGGCTGATGGGCGCAGCTGCACTACCAGGGACTCGCTTCAGATAGATAAAAAAGAAATAAATACAAGTGGGTTTACAAAAGAAGGGATGCTGCAGTCCCAGAGCTGCGGGAGCAGGAGCCAGGGCTGGCCTACACGGATGAGGATGCAGAGGGAGCAGAGAGGAGCTGCTGTGCCCGGCCGCGGGCTCGCTGGCGGTGAGGCAGGGCAGGGGCTGCGGCACGGGCTCCCCTATGGCTTTGAAGAGGCGGCTGGGCTGGGGAGCACCGTGTCCTTCCATCCCTCCCCGTGGGGCCAAGGCTGTTCCCATCCCCTTGGGAACGTGGCGAGCGAAAGCGGAGCGGGGTGAGATGATTGCGTGCTCCTGCCTGTCCCGAGGCAGCCGGGAGGGCAGGGAGCCCTGTGCTGGTGGCACCTGCACAGAGCAGGGGGAATGGCTCCAGCAGATGGTGTTAGGGGAGCAGGAGGATGGGAGGGAAAGCTCTGCTCCTGTCTGGGCAGCCCCAGGCTGGTCCTGCGTGGCTGTCTCCATAAAGCCTGGGGCTGGGGCTGGGGCTGGGAGGCTCCAGAGATGTGAGCTCTGGAGCGTGGCTCAGCAGGCGTCCAGGCAGGGAGCTGCACGGGGAGGCACGGCTGCAGCACAGTGCACACGCACGCACAGCTCCCTGCGTGGAGAGCTGCAGGGTGGCCTCAGAAGGGACGCTGCACAGGGATGGAGGCCGAAAGCGGACAGGCAGGGGATGGCTCATGAGCGTGACTCCCCAGCAGGCACAGCCCCCAGGAGCAGGAGGGTCTGTGCTCCCCACGCCGCTGCCCTGCTCCACGCTGCAGCCCCCAGAGCAAGGCCCTCCCTGTCCCTGCCCCACCGCCTCACCTGCACCCTGGGGTCGCCCCTGCGTTCCACCATCACTTCAGCAAGGATATGTCATCGGCGAAGTCGTCGTGGTCCCGCCGCAGGCAGTGGAAGCAGCGCCACTGGAACACCATGAGGCAGAGGGGCAGCATGAAGAGGGCGCAGATGGCTGCCATCACGTAGGCGATGGTCATCAGGGTGGACTCGTCCGTCTGTGGGATGTTGTAGCCACAGTCCTCCATGTTGGAGTGCAGGTAGGGCCCCTCCACCGCCGCCGTCCGGAACTCGTCGTGCACTGGGGGGGAAAAGGCAGGGCCGTGGTCACTGCATGCCCACATCATGCCCACATCCCCTCTGCTTCTCCCTGCCTGCAGGCCCAGCCCTCACCGTGGCAGGCACTGACAGCAAAGCCGATGCGCTTGCGGGCACGGTCGAAGACCACATAGAAGCCCTCCATGATCACAGCACCCATGACGGTGCCCGTGGAGGACTGGGAGATGGCGAACTTGTAGCAGTCGTCCTGAGAGGTGGCCACGTCTTCCACGGGGCGCAGGTATTGCTGCAGGAAGAGAGATGCCAGCAGGAATGGGGCAGGCAGCTGTGCCCAGCCAGCAGCGGTGCTAGGCAGGGTCAGCGCTCACCTGGGGCAGGATGGTGATCCGGAAGGACTGGTTGGTGGCCTCCCCCATCAGGTAGAGGGACAGGACTGGGAAGATGTGCCAGGGGGTGGTGCCAACCTGCCAGCAAACCAGCTGCTCCCCCAGCCAGAAGCCATCCGGGAACTTCTCCGTCTGCAGAGGGAAGGGAGGTGAGCAGAGCCGTGCCGGGCGGGCAGCACTGATGCTCAGGCTGGTGACAGGCAGGCGCGCTGCCCGCAGCTCTGTGCTGGCGCAAGGACGTGCCCACAGGGGAGGGAGGGATGGATTTCACTGACCGAAGAAGCCGTTTTGATGGATTTCACTGCAGCCTCAAACACCTTCTTTGGCAGCCTGAGGTTGGTGGTCCCGCTGTCCACGATACTCTTGTCATAGTTGTACTGGGGGCAGAGGAGGAGGGCTCGAGATGCAGACCCCAGCCTTGCTCCCCTCCCAAAGCCCCTCAGCAGGAGGGCGGATGCTCCAGCAGCAGTGACAAAGGAGGTGCCCTGCTGTCCCCTCACCTCTTTGCAGTCCATGTTCAGGTCCTGCCCGTTGACCTCCAGCTTGACGATGATGACCTCGTAGTACCACTCCTTCCGGATGGGTGTGTACCAGATGTCACCCACGTACAGCGAGCGATCGATGCCACCAATGATCTGCAGCAGGGACAGAAAGGGGATGCCATGGTGCCCTGCCAGCTCCGAGGGGGCACCCCATGTGGGCCTCCCTGGTGCTCCTGCAGCAGAGCACTCACCATGCTGCCTCCCACCGATGCCAGCGCCTCCGTCTCGTTGGGGGAGAAGCCTGCCCCGCAAAGCTGAAGGGAGAAGATGTTGGGCACCCGGGTCTGCTTCACCAGGGAGTCAAAGAAGGGCTCCAGGCTGTCGTCGGGCTGGTGAGAGGAGAAAGCAGAGGCAGGACAGGGATGTCAGTGCTATCCCTCCTCCAGGGGCTCTCCATGCCCAGGGCAGCTCCCACTGCTGGGACCATTGTGCCCCAAGGGACCCCGGCCCTGTGTGCTGCTGGAGCTCAAGGTCACCAGCACAGCTGGAAGCTGGGCCCCTGGGACTGAGCAGAGCTGGGCTCACCCGGGCGATCTCGGCGTACGCCAGCCCCAGGATCCCTTCCCAGTTGGAGCCGTTGATGAAGAACTTGTCTGACTCCGTGATGGCAGCGATGTTGGCTCTGACGGTGACGTTGGGGCCGTGGGGAATGGTGACAAGGTCGGTGCCCAGCTCCCCTTCCCACTTGCCCTGGGTGTAGGGCACATACACACCCTTCCGCAGGTCGCGGTAGGTGCTGGACCTGCAACGGCATCAAAGAGCTGTGTGGACCCATGCTTCCCAGAAGGGACAGCGTGGGGCCAGAGCTGCATCCCTGCGCTCTCTGTGTTCCCCCTGCATACTCACAGCTGCCGCTGGTAGTATCTCCGGAGGAAGGGGTGAGGTGCAGCTCCGACAGCGAAGTTACTGCTCCCTGTGTCCACCAGGATGTTCAGCTGGAGGGGGAAGAGACATGGATGGTGAGGGTGCAACAGGACCCTCCTGCACCACCCACCCAGCTCTGTCTGGCTCTGCAGGTGCGTGCTGCTTCCCTCATCCCATGGCAGGCACATGGTGGCTGTTGCACCATGTGCACGTGTGGGGCTGGAGGGCGCAGCGGTGTGGGGGTCCCTGCATCCTCTTGCTGGGAAACCTGATTTGCTCCCAAAGCTGCTGGGAGGATTGATGCCCCAGCACTGCGCACCGCTGGCTCCGCTAATCAGCCACCCATATGCTGAGCTCTGCTTCCAGTTCCCTTCTGCCTGTGCCCGGGATTACCAGCTCAGGCAGGGGTTGGCACACATCCTGCCCCCAGCTGAACCCTGCCTGCAGCAACAGCACCACGGGGCTTTGGCCCTTAATCTGTGGAGCAGAGGGGAGAGGAGGAGGGTGATGAGCTCGTGCTCATCGCAGAAGCACTGGGCTGCAGCTACTGGAGCCTCCTGCCCGGCGCACTGACAAGGGTGGCTGCAGGCAGCATGTGCTGGGGGGCACGGGGACAGGGACAGGTCCCCAGACCCCAGGCTGCTGTCTGGCCCAGGGGGACACTGCAGGCCATGGGTAAAGATCAGAGCTGCACGTTTCTCCCCTTGGGTGAGCACCAGGAGCTGCTGAGAGCCCACTGAACATCCCGACCTTCCCATGGCAACGCAGCATCTCCAGCCCCGCCTGCTGCACCGGGACCATTCCCAGGGTGGCTCTGTTTGATCAGGGGGTAGGGGCCATCTGCTCCACACTGCTCATCTCTCCTGGTCCCTGGGGTACCCCAGAGATGAGTTTCCCGGGTGAAAGACCTGCAGAGCTGATGCTGCGGGGAGAGGAGGCTGCAGGTGGCAGGGAGGGACTTTGCTCTCATCGCAGGGAAGGTGAAAGGTGGGAGGGAGATGGAGCAAGGGGCACAGTGGGGTGCCCAGACCGCATGTGTGCCTTTGAGAAGGATGCCCACACCCCTATGGGCAGACACGCTCCCTGTTCTCCTGCATGTGCACAGCCATTGCTCTCCTCTCTCATGTGAATCTCGATTCCTTTGCAGCGCCTAGAGGAATCCAGCTCAGCGCACGCACACGCGCCTGCACACGCACCACGGTCCCGTCTGGATGGAGGCCAAGGCTGGAGGATGCTGCCCAAAAGGGTGAGGGGATTGGGAGCACCCTGGGAACAGGTGGTTCGCAGGGCAATTGTGTGGCAGCTGCGACACGTGGCAGGGGATGATGAAATCCCATTGGAAACGACATGTTAGGAATAATCTCCTCCCTTTCCCCCTCAACATCCCCAGGCACGCAGGGACACCACGGGACCCGATTCCTGCCTCCCTCCCCTGTCCATGGTTCGCATCCCGCTCGTGCTGCTCTCTCCCCCCATGTGCCGTGCTGCATGGAGCCGGCTCGAGGGGAGAAGCCAGCCTTTATCTCGGGGGCTGCGTGGGCTCTGCGTGCTCTGGCAGCACCAGCCTCTGTGGCGGGTGGGAGATGTGCGGGAGCCAGCCCTGTGCTGGAATGTGGACCCTGGAGCACAGGCCCGCTGTGCAGCAGGCAGAGGTAGGCGATGGTGTGTGCACAAAGGATTCGGCAGCAGGAATCGGGGTGAGTTCACCCATAAAAGAGGGGAGGAGCTGGTCCAGGCACCTCGGCACCCCTCCTGTCCCCAGCACAGGGCCAGATGGTGCCACACACGGGAGCTCCTGGACACAAGGGATGCTGCTGAACGGACTGAGCGGAGCCTGGTGATGCACCGGCTCTGCCCTGCGGGCATCCCTGCCTCCCCACGCTGCCCATGGCCCTGCAGCCTGCCCCACAAACAGCAGCCTCCGGCTCCGGAGGAGCCAGGCTTGCTGCTGGCACATGCCCGCAGCCGGGCGATGCTGGCGGCCCCTCGCCGCCCACAGCCGTGCGGCAGCATCCCTCGGCTGGCGCAGGGATGGATGCACGGATGCAGCCCGGCACGCACAGCACCGAGAGGCCCCGCAGCACACCCGGTTCGAGGGTGACCTTCGGCTCCCTCCGTTGGCCCCGCTGCCGGCCCCCCCCCGGCCCCCGGGCGTCCCTACCTTCTGCGGGGGGCTGCCCACCGTCATCTCCACGTAGTAGCCCTGCCCGGACTTGCCCCGCAGGTTGTCGATCATGTCCACGAAGCCGCCGCCGCTGCGCTCGGCCTCCTCCGGCGCCCGGCGCGCCCGAGGACCCGGCGGCGGGGCCGCGCCGCCCCGCAGCGGCAGCCGGATGCGCGGCGGGGCCGGGAGGGCGCCCGCCCCCAGCCACAGCAGCAGCCAGGGCCAGGCGGCAGCCATGGCCGCGGCCCGGACAGCCCTGCTCCCCGGGGGAACGGTGCCTATGGGGCCCGCAGCGCCCCGCGCCTCGGCCGGGCGGCCGCGCCGGGGCCGAGCGGGGCGGCGGGCATGGCGGCGCGGCGCTCCCCGCCCCGGAAAGCGCGACCGCCCCCGCCCGCCCCCCGCCCGCCGGCGGAAGCGGTGGCGGCCGCGGCTCCGCGCAGCTCCCGAGGCCTCCCCGCAGCCCCCGGCCCCTGCTGCGGCCTGGCCCGGCCCGGGGGCACCGGCGTGGTCGGGGCGGGCAGCGGGCCGGGGCTACGCGTCGCCATGGCAACGGGCGGCGGGTCCCGCACTACAGCCCCCGGCAGGCGCCGCCGCATCTCACGTCACGCATCCCTCCAGCCAATCCGACGCTGGGCGGCCTGTGCGGACCAATGGCAGTTGGCCGGGGGCGGGCGTTAGCGCTGCTCGGGACCCGGATGTGACGGCAACTCCAGGCAACCCGTGAGCGTCCGTGGAGGCGGTGGCGGCGTGGCCGGGCCGGGGCCCGGGGCTCGGCCGTGCGGGGTGAGCTGCGGGGCCGGGGGGAGCGGGTGACCCGGGAACGGGACCGGGAACGGGGCCCAACCCCGCCTTGAGGCACGGGAACGGATCCGGAGCGAGCCCCCGCATCCGGGAGTGTTGCTCAGGTCCGTTCGGGACGGGAGCACCGCGGCGCTGCCTGGGCTCGGCGCGGCCCCGAGGGTTAAACCCGGGATTAACCATTGCTCCTGAGCCTCCCTTTACGTAAGGGTTTAAACCCGGCGCGGGCGGAGGTGGCGGCTCAGTGCCGGGCATGTGGGGCACGTCCTGCAGCCGGAGCGCATCGCTGTGCCGTAAAGGTGCTCGGGCATCCCGTTCCCTGCTAGGACACCGGGTGCAGTTGATCACTGTGATTCCTGTGTCGCTTCCTTCATGGCGCCAGATGCAGAAGGCCATGGAGGAACCTGTGGTGCGCATTGGTGACCAGATCATCCTGGAAGAAGATTACGATGAGACCTATGTTCCCAGTGAGCAAGGTAACGGATCCTGCCCTCCCGGGAGCTGGGATTCGTGCATGCAATTCAGTGCCAGTGTATGAAGAAAATAGGGACTGGGGAGAGTATGAGGGTAGAATAAATGGGATTTTGTAGAAGACATTAACTTTCTGGTTGTAAAGATAAATGCCATTTTGCAGTCTGCCTCCAGCCTGCCAGGGAACCACGGCACAGTGAGTCCACTGACACATGGGCCATGCTGGCAGCTCTGTTTCCCCTGGGTGCCCCTGTGCTTTAGTTGGGGAAGTTGGCTTTATTGCTTAGTGCCTGGTGCAGATCATCTCCACTGGTTCCTCTTCTGTTTTCCAGAAGTCCAGGATTATGCCCGGGCGATCGGGATCGACCCCAAGAAGGAGCCGGAGCTGCTGTGGTTGGCCAGGGAAGGAATCGTGGCCGTGTTACCTCCGGGGTGGAAGCCTTGGTGAGAGCTCTGTCAGTGGTAGGGTTCCTGCCCTTCCCTGCTCTGTGCTGCCCACATCAGTGGCAGTCTGATAGGGGCAGTGCTGCAGGAGATGTGCCTCCTGTGGATGCCTGGGTCTTTTTGGGGTGGTGGAATAGAGGGAAAGAGCATTTAGGAAGTTGGATGTGGATGTGAGCAATCTCTAGGAGAGCTCCTTCCTCACACCAATGTGGCTCTTGGTGATTCAGTAAGGATGTGCTGGGACGTGCAGCTCTGTCTATATGTGCTCTTTCATCTTTTCATGGTGTTTTTGCCATACAGCCAAGACACCACTGGTGAGATCTATTACTTCAACTTTGTAAATGGCCAATCCGTGTGGGACCACCCGTGTGATGATCACTACAGAGAGCTTGTCATTCAGGAGCGAGAGAAGCTGCTGGCATGTGGCAGCTTGAAAAAGAAAGAGAAGAAGAAGAAAGAAAAGAAAGAGAAGAAGAGCAAGAAGGAGAAGCAGTCATTGAAGCAGCTTGCTGTGAGTAGACTCCACTCGCAGTGCTTCTGGGGAGGCTGGGCACAGAGTTCTCATGATAAATATATGCCTTTGGGAGAAGCAGAGGTGAGACTGCAATCAGATTACCTGTTGTTGCTGTCATAGAGGCTGTCTAGAAATGTCACTGTCTTCCTCTGGGAATAGCTGGGTCGTCTTGCTCTGTTCTGCCCAAACTCTTTGTCCATAAGTAATTGCCTCAGTTTAATAAGAAGTTACTGAATCTGCTGTCCTGAAGTAAGAAATGATCTGAAAGGTCAGTGCATTTAATGTTAATGGATTGCTGTGCTGCTGGGGGTGCCCAGCTGTGCCTCCACCACGTCACTAACTCAGGTTTCCAGTTATCAGCATGTGGTAGTGCTCACTGATAAGAACTATGACTATAAATATCAGATAAAGTGCAGATTACCCTGCAAGTTTTAATTAGCCCCGTGGAAGCGGGTTTATCTTTGCTGAAGGACAGCTAACATCCTCTGCTCTGCATTAACTCATAGTTAATGGCCATCTGCAGAAAATAATCAGTGTGATTTATTCTGTTAGAGTGGAATGTGTGATTTATTCTGTTGCCATTGCTGTGGCAGTGACTTTGTGGAAGAAGGATTGGTGCACATTCATCTCCCTGCTCCTCAGCCTAAGAGTGATTTAGCTCCGCTTTCAGTCTGCAGCCTGGTGCAGACACAGCGCAGAGGAGCTGTGATGTCTGAATGTGCATGTGCTCTGCTGGAGCATGAGCTGGCGTGCGTGCTACAGAGAAAACCCTGGCATGTGTGTGCTCCGAGCTGAACCTGTGCAGTGTCATGGGGTGGGAACTCCATGGTCATGGCCACGTTTCTGGGGGAGGATAACTTGATGTCAAACATGAGCTGCTGAGAGGGGAGGATGCTGGATGGCTCCTTGGGCTCTTGCTGCCCTTTGAAGGGGAGAGATGTATTTACTAGCTTCTTGTGGATGTGCTGCAGCAGAGTGCTTTGTGCTGTCTGTAACTTTTCCACTGGTGTAAGGTGAGGAAGCAGCCTGGATCTCTGTCTAAAAGGAGGTGGTAATTGCAGCTTGGGGAGAGTAGGAGGCTTCTTGCCATCAGAGTGGTTTCTCCTTCACTCATTTCATGCTGTGCAGAGCAGCAGGGCAGAAGGGGAGCTGCCCAGTTTGCCTTGGGTGCATGGCACTGGGTAAGAGCCCTCCCAGAGGGTGCTGTGTGTGGGTACATGTGAGGTGGTGTAGCGGCTGTTGTTCTTGCTTTGGTTTGGAGTGATGCCCATTGATTTTCTGGATTACCTTGCTGCTGTAAAGTGAATCACTGTATTCAGATGGGCCTTTGGGAGACAAAATGTGTGAGTAAATCAAAGTGTGTGTCACGTGCTGGGCATTGCTGGGTGTGGGGTCTCACAGTGGTGGTGGGTCTCATGTGGGCTGGGTCCTGTCTGTTGTGAGGAGCCGTGTCCCGTGCTGTGTCAGTGAGCCCTGTGCACATTCCAGCCCGCAGGCATGCAGCTGGCGCCCGTGCAGGTGCCCCCGGGGGGCCTGGCCCCGCTGCGTGGGGTCCCAGCACCCCTGCTCCCCAGCCTGCGCCCCAGCCCGCTCCCCCTGCAGCACTGCAGCCCCGCACCCGCCGGCCTCGGCACCGCAGCAGGGACACAGGTAAGGTCCTGGCTCTGGGAATGCGCTGCAGAGCACCTGGGGATGGGGACACTGAGAAGCATTGGTGATGTCTGTTGAACCCCACTTCCCTGCTGTCCCTCACCATACCGCTGTTCTCTTGCTGTTTCTAGGGAGCCCAGTACTAAATCTGTGCTGAGCTTTCTTCTGCTGTGATTGGCAGACTTAAAGAAAGAACTGCTTCAGTTACTGTTGGCGGGAGAAGTCTGTTGAGTTCAGAACATTGATTTGTGTGATATGCATTACAGATGATGTAATGCAATAAATCATATTGTCCCTCAGCTATTTGCTAAGAATAAAAAGTGAAAAGCAGAGTTTTCTGGATGGATGCAGGGTTTCCAAGCATTCCTTTTTCCAAGCATTTCCTTTTGAAAGGAAACAAAACCAGTGTAGTGCCAAACATACAGATAAACACCTTCAGCAAAGGTTTTAGTCTGGCTAAGCCTTATCTCTGGTGGTTTCAAGCACCTTGTTTTTATTATGGGCTGGGCGGGACTGAACCAGTGTTTTGAGGCACAGGCAGGTTTTGCAGCTGTCATCCTAGAGGACAGAACCCTCTGATCTAAGGGACAGCATGGCCTCATAAGGAATATATGCTCTCCCAGCTGGCCATTGCTCTAGCAGCACTATCTCAAGCACCTTCTCAGAATTCAGCATGTCCCCTGCTGCTGGCAGTGCCTCAGTGGGTTTGTATCTGTCCTTTCCCTTGGCTCTCCTCTCACCTCCCTTCTCTTTGGCCCCACAGCCTCCAGAGACCTGTAAGGCCACCAACCAGATGAAGAAGTCGCTGGGCTTGGTCTGTGAAGAGGAGAGTTCCTTGAACCCAGGTGCTCTAGATAAAGGGAGAAGTGAAGAGGAAGAAAGTGAAAACGAGGTGGGTTGTGCCTTGGTTCTTAATGTGAGTCCGTAACTGTAGTGCAGGAGACCTCAGAGAATGAAAAACTGATGCTCTGGTGGTTGGCCCTAGCTGTTCCATTTGACTCAGGGCCTTAGTTTGTGCTGCGCTTCCTCTGCGTTGTTGGGTCACCAAGAAGCATCTAATCCTTTTCTGTCATGGTACTCCCTATTAGTCACTGTCTGCCATGAGGTAATTCCAGAAGGAAGGGGCTGTAGGTGTGTTGCCTTGAAGCAGTGCTATAGCTTTACTGTCTTATTTTGAGGCTTAGGAACCCCCAGTGCCTCCTGGGTGCTGGTGGGATTGCAGGGGTCAGAACTCAGTTTTGACCATGCCCCTTTTGCTTTTCCATACTTCAGAGCTCCCATGAGACACGAGGACTGTTCAGAAACCTGCACGTGGATGTCAGTGCCCTGGGAGGCAGCTTTGACTCTGAGGTAAGCCATGTGTGAGCAGGACCAACCTGGAGCAGGCTGATGGAGGCACAGCAGCAGCGCTGGGGAGTGTGTGAGAAGCCAGATACAGTTTGCAGGGGACAGGGGGGGTGTGTTGGATGCAAATTTGTGCTTGAGGGAGGATGCTTGTGGTTTGGTGGGTGGGATTTGAGGAGATGGCACCTTTGCCCATGTTGGAGCTTTGTTTTGTTCTAAAGCAGAGAAATCTGAAGTGATGCAGGTGGGACAGGCAGGCTGGAGAAGGGCTCTTCAACAGCAGAAAGGTGAGAGCCTCAGAGCAGAGGTGCCACTGTGCTTGCAGTATGAGGAAGGTTTGCTTCTGTGCTGCTTGTTTCAGTTCTCAGCTGAAGTGGCAATGGTGGCATTGGGGAGAGCAGAGGGGAATGTGCTCTGGAAATGCCTTTCTCACACTTAGTTCCACAGGAATCTTAAACCTTTCATGTGGCCTGCGTGTGGTCCTGAAAGCTGTTTTCTTCCTTCTTGCACTGCTGACATTCTGTGGCTGGGGCAGTGTCAGCAGCGACTTGAGGACGCTTGTGGGCTGGTGCAGACATTGCCTTTCCATGCCTCTCAGCAGTGATGAGGCTTAAGGTGACAAGGGCACAATGGGAAGTGCGTGGCAAGCAGCTCTGGTGATGCAGCCCAACGGTGCTGACATTAATCCTGTCTCACTGCTGTGAAATCCCCTTCCACTGTCTGAAAGGCAAATTAATTTCTCTTAAAGTGTTTTACAGTATTTGCCTTATCCTGTTCACTGCACACAAAAACTAAGCTGTCAAGGGCTTTGGTAGTGAGCCCAGCGCTGGGTGGAAACTGCAAAGGCTTATGCTAAAGTAGGGGGAAAGAAAGGGCTGATTCCCTGGTCTCCAAACAAGCAGCAGCCTTTTAGGGTCCAGTTCATCACTGGAATGTTAACTCATCCAGAACAGAGCTAGCTTGGCGTTTCAGTGCAGGGCTTCAGGAAGCTATAGTGAAATGGCAGCTGCTGCCCAACAGCCAGGCTCAGTTAACCCAGATGGGGGATCTCTTAGTCCTGATATTAGAACCCCACTGGAAAAGGTAATTCTGGTGTGCTTCCATGAGATGGCAGTAGAAAAGCATTCCTATGAGCGAGCCTAAGCCTGGTTCTCCAGCTCCTTTGCAAAACGGGAGGAAAGGATTTGTAGAGCAAGCCTTAAGGGGGGAAATCTAAGGTGTAATTGGGTGAAGTGATAAAAACCTCGTGGCTTCGTGTAGCCTGTGCGTCAAGGCCGAATACCTGTATTCAGAGAAAAGCAGCATGAGGGTTTAGTGACTTGCTGAGACACAAGGATGCTGGGGGAGAGGGGAGGCTGCATTGAAGGTGAAATAAGGGTCTGGAGAGAAGGAAGAGAGGTGGAAAGGAATGCTGCCTCCCTCTGTGGGCTTTTCTGGAGCAAGGAGGGAGTTAGCTGGGAAAGAGGCAGTGCAAATGAAACCCAAGTCAGGTGCTGGGGACCTTGAGGTGTGAGGTTTATGTGTCCTTAGAATGTACTCTTGGTGAGAGGGACTCATGTAGGGAGCTTGGTTGGCTTGGCTTAGCTCTTGCTAAGAAGAAGGGCTTTGGGATACTGCTGGATGGGGCAAGAGGAGGAGAAGGTCTGGAAGCATCGCTGGTGCCTGGGGACATGGTCACGCAGCAGCGGAAGTGATCCCCTGCTGGTGCTTGCAGCTTGGGAGGTTTAGAGCTCTGCCTCCTGTCCAGGTCAGCCTCTGGGTAAACACTGGGGCTCAGGGGTCCTCTGTGTGCTGGGAAGTTGGCACACGAGGCTGCTCTGTCAGATGGAGGTGTGTGAACAGGAGCTCTCCGTAAATAAACCCTGTGCCATAGAGCTTGTGCGGTACTGCCGGGATGCAGGGAGCAGAGCTGCTGCTTCCGGGAAACAAAGGCATCCATGAAACACCAGTGCAGGGATGACAGCGGAAGGCAGGATGGCTCCTGTGTCCATAGCCTTGCTCTCTCTGTGCTGGGGGGGGGTGTGCCTGAGAACTGCTGTAGTGAGCTGCAGCAAAGCACGCGGACAGAAAGGGTTTTGTTGGGGAAAGTGGGCCTGGGAGCTGCTGAGCTCCGGTGAACTCCTTTCCCAAGCTGGAAAGCTGTTGAGCTGGAGGGCAGATGCAGGGGTGAGAGGCAGGGCTGTGACCTGTCACATCTGGATGACCTGAGCACCTTAGGAAGATGATGTGAGGACTTTTGCTAGTGGATGCGTTACCTCACCCACTAGGAGAAGAAAGCAGAGGAGGAAGACTGTGGCAGCTGGGTAGCTGATGCTGCTGATGCTGACCTCCAGCACCGAAGGAGCCCTGCAGAAGAAGCTGGCAGCCTGAGAGAGGTGATGAGTGGCTCTGATATCATGGCTCTGTTCTCATGATGTCACTGAAGCTGGGCATGCAGTAGGCAGCTTTGAGTGTTGTGGTGTGTGCCTGATAGCTGCTTGGTTTGTTTCTTTTGCTGGTTATTGTATTACATGCATGAGGAGAGGTGTAAACTTAAAACCCCAGGGCAAATGCTACCCAGATGAGGTCTGTCGAACCTAACCCCCTGTGGACTTCACCTCTTTGAGATGAGCAGGGCTCAGTTCTGGGGGCTGCTGTTCATCCTGATGATTCATCTCTGGATCAGATGCCTTTCCCAAAGCTGGTCCTGTTGGTATTGATGTGCTTTTCTCCAGGCTTGTGCTGATCACTGGAAGTCTGGACACAAGGATTTGATGGGCAGAAATTTCACATCAGTTAGCGTCACTGAGCTGCGGGGAAAATGTGTTGCAGCTTGTGAAAAGATCAGTGAAAGCCAATTATATCCTGAGTGACTTGTCCCAGCTCTGAAATCCATGGAAAATCCATAGCCTGTTTGTGCACAGGGAAAACCTCCCTCCTCCTCCACCTGTATGTCTGATTGGCAGAGCTCTTCCAGAGAGCTGCATTTGTGATCATTGAGGTGTAATGCTGACAAAAGCTTTGTCTCTATCCGTGCTTAAAGCAGGATTCTGCCAGCTAAAGAGATTATGCTGGGATGTTTTAGTAACGGAGGTAAACTTGCCTGGAGAGAAGCCTTTGTGTGCACGGTGTTGCTGGAGTCATTGGTGTATTCTGTTGTGGCGTTGTGCTCCTCAAAGGGAAGTGTCTCTGTACTGTTTTACACATACATCTGTGTACATAAACCTCACTGCTCTCATCGGGCATACCTTTCCTTGGGCGCTGTCACATGTCCTGGAGAGAGGGCTCAAGGAGAGCTCTAAAGCAAGCCTGTCCCAAAGGGAGCCCAACTTTCCAGATGCCCTCAACCCCAGATCAAAGTGAGGCCTGCTTCAGTGTTACTGCAGTGGGGCAGTGCCTCTTGCCCAAGCCTGTCTGGGTTCAGGTGCTATGAAGCCTTTGTGGCTGGTGGTTGGTTCAGTGGTGTGTGTTTGAAGCTCTGCTGAGCAGGCACCACACTGGAAAGGGGCCATAGGCTTTGGTTTGAATCACAGCTGGGGCTCTGGGCTGCAGCTCTTTGGGTAGCTGGTGATGGGGTTTCTCTGTTGTCCTGCTGGGTGCTGCTCTCAGCCCTGGGAAGGTCCCCAGACCAACAGTGGGCTGGGAGAGGCGCTGTCAGTGCGCTGCAGCTCCGGCTCTCAAGCTGACAGCATTCCAGTTGCACTCTGATAAAAATACATCGTTAAAATATGCGGTCTGTGTGTGGTACATGCTGTACACAGGATGCAGCTAATGTTTGACAAGACACCACAGCATTAATAAAACAGTGAGAAAGTGGGACGTGCTAGCAGTTTTGTTTGCATGCTGATGAGGGAACCTTTTCCTGCTTCCTCCTGGCTGTCGTGCTTGTTCTCGTGAGCTGGGTGGCCTCCCCACTGCTGGAGAGGCACCTGCACCTCGGGGTGACTAAGCTTCAGTGCGGGATTGTGTTCTCCTTGAGTGTGCGCTGTCAGTCACAGCCCTGCTCTGAGCTCAGAGCTTAAACTGGTGCCTGCCCTCCGGTTTGGCCCACTGGGAGGTGGGATGCTTGCAGCTTGTCTGCTCCTCTCTGCTTGATATCAGACAGAGTTACATGTCCAGTACCAGCCTCTTGCAAATTTCCATCTCTCACTGAACAGGTGAAGGGTGGAAGCAGAAATGGGTCTCCTGCAGAGCATGCAGGGTGCTCCCAGGGGCTGATGGGCCTAGAGCGACCACAGCTACCTTTTATACACTGAGCCCTTGTGGATGGATATCCACAGCAGATTAACAAACCAGAACCAAAACCCAAACAGCTCTGAGCCCAGCAAATGAGTGTGTTTATCCCAGTGGAGTTCCTTTCTTTGTGAAATCAAACTGGTCTGGAAGTCACCCAAAGCTCTGTGACTTTGCTGTAGCAGAACCCATGCTGTTTCTGACTGCTGCATCCTCCCAGAGAGGGGGTAAAGAATGTTGTAGCTATAATTGTGTTTGACTTGCTGCCTAGAAGGAGTCTGTAAAATCCAGACATGCTGAAGAAGGGCAAGACTTTTCCTTGGATTCCGATGACGCGTGCCCTCCGACTCCCGTTGAAGTCCTCCTTGGCGATGCTGACAGCAGCCTGTCTGACCACGGCAAGGATGAGCCCGGTGGGAAACACACTGGGAATGACCTACTGGGCGAGCCTGATCCTGAGCTGGAATGTGACATCTCTGCTGCTGTGGAGCTGCCGCAGTCCCTGCGGGAAAGGAGTGCAGCAGGGGTAGATACGCCCAGTGGTCCTGGGCCACCTCGAGCTGCATCTCCGGCTGCTGAACCTGCTGATGGAGATCAGCAGCTAGACCTGGCTTCTCCCATTGAGATGGTGAATGAAATGAGGGAAGAAGCAGCAGCTGATCTGGAAGCAGATGGCAAGCTGGATGCTGGCGAAGTAAGCGACCTCCCTGCGTGGTTGGGTTTGGTGTGGAAGCTGCCGTGCCTGTTCCTGTTGCCTTGTAAGGCCCTGCTTTAGCAAAGCTCTTGGAGCACTTACGTGTCTTCCGTGAAGGCAGCGTAAGCACTTTCCCAGCCAGCAGGGTGTTCCTGGGGGGGGCACAAGTGCTCTCAATTCCCAGATCAGCATCTTCAGCACTGAGCTGGGAAATCGTTCTGTTCTGTGGCACAAAGTGCTGTCCAAAGCAACCGACAGGCAGAAACCCTGGACTGAGACGCGCGTTTCGAGTCTTGGAGGAGAAATAAGTCTCAGCTTTCAGTGCTGCCATCTGTACTAAGCAGGCAGGTTTATAATGAAGTTCACACCAAGCCCAGCTGTCCGTGCTGCTTTGTTTCTCTCCTTCTGTTGTTTCTCTCAGCTTATGCAGAGATGGGACAAAAGTGTAAAGTGAGCTGCCAGCCGTGATACTCGCAGCTTCGGAGGGATGCCATGGGAGGTGCGGGTCAGAGTGGGAAGGACGGTACCTGGGGAATGGCTTGGAGCTGCAGCTCTCATCTGTGAGCATGGTGCCTCCCTGCCTGCAGCTTTCCTAGGAGGAGGAGAAGCAGCTAGAACCGGGGTAGCTGATTGTGCCATCTCTGGCACCATCGAGCGTCACAAGGTGCAGATGGGTTCCTGGCCTGGCCCCTGCAACTGGGGTGCCAGACAGACACATGCTCTGGTTCGGTGTCTTCCAGAAATGCTAGAATATGAGAGCTGATAAACTCCTTCCTTCCAGTCTAGCTTTGTTCCTGCTGATTTTGGTGATTTTTCTAGTTCCATTGCTGTGTAGCATCCTTAAGAGATGATAAGGGATAAAACTGTGCCTGGAAAACACATTCTGTCCCAAAGAGCTGGAACTTGAAAGCTTTGCTTTTACACTTACCTGCCCACTTGCTTTATGCATCTGGATAGATCTCCTGAAGTCAGCAGGGTTCTGCAGGTGTTCACACTGAACAGAGAAGCCCTTGCTGCAGTTGGGCATGCCAAGGTGTACCTTTAAAGAGCTTTTAAGACCATGGTACTGTTCTGTGTGGCTTTACCCATTTATGTGGTGGGCTGGGGAGCTCTCAGAGCTACAGAGATCTGTGCAGAAGGAGCAAAGCACAGGAAGCAAGTGCCTTTTGTCAGGGGTATTTGAGGAGCACTTCTTGGCCCTCCCCAGTCCCCTCTCCTGCCCCTGTTCCCCTGTGATGCTTTGTGCTTGTCGTGGGTAACTGCTATGGAGAGGCCAGACTTGTCCTCCCACATGGGTTGTCACCTTGTTGGGAATGCCGGTGTGAAGCTGCAGGGCTAGGATGTGCACAGGCTCTAACACAGGTCTCTTCTTGGCTTCCAAAGACATCAGAGGCCAGCGACTGTGTGGAGGACTTGCAAGTCTCTAACTGCTTGGACCGTGAGGTGCTGTGGCCTGGGGTGAGTCACTGAAAGCTCCTTGTCCCTTGGGTGGGACACAGTGCCACGGGTGCCTGCAGGACTGGGGTAGCCATCTCCTGTGTCCTGTAACCTGTGCTATTGGTTTCAATAGCTGTGTTCCAGGCTGTGTGAGGATTTGGGTCTGGCCAAACCTGTGTGTGCTCATCGGCCGCTGACCCTTTCCTCCTTTCTGCTTTAGGACATGGGCATCAAGAACTGGCTTTCTGAGCAGGTACCAGATGTGGAGGATCTGTCTGCTGCTGTGGACAGCCCCATGTGCAAGGTCAGTTCTCTGTGTGTGATCAGGGACCAGTCTGGATCAAACACTGTATTGTGGTGCAGCAGTAACAGGATGATGCTGTTGGCACAGGGGCTTTGAGGAGGTGAATACAAGTGATGTGCTTGGCATCAGGGGTTACAGCAGCACTACCAGTGCATTGGTTTGTCTGCAGAGATGAGGTGTAGGTATCTACACAAGGAACAAACTGAGTACAGGTGGCTTGTGAGGGCTGCAGAATGTAATCTCAAACGTGAGCTTCCCTGCCCCAGGAGGTCAATGGCTTTCCAAGGGAGTGGTGAGAAGCTGAGTCTCTTTCCTTTTGTGGGTATATTTGTCCCTTTCTTTCCCTTAAGCAGATGGGAAGGATCTGTGTACCAGAACACAAGTGTGTAGATGGGAGGAAAAGGAGGCTGGCTCCCTCTGACAGATTTTGGTCTAGGGAAGCTTATTTTTAAGCATTTGGTTGTCTTGCCTGCTTTCATGTAAGGGGAGAAACAGGCTCCTCTCAGTGAGTCTGTGGCACATGAAGGAGTGTACATGTGCGTTAGCCCAGGCTGCACCTAGGAGCAGGCAGCTCTGCCTGAACAAGTGCTGTGCATCTTGAGGTTTTCTCCTTGTCTTCTCAGCCCGTGATGGAGCGATTGCTCAGCCCCACGCTGCAGCTGCCCTCTCCTGCACCACCTCGGTGGGCACATCCATGTGTGCTGGCTCCAGCTGCGGCTCCTCAGCCTTGCTCTGACTGGGAGCTGCTGGGCTGTGCTGGAGGAGCCCTGCGTGGCGACCTCCTCACCTGCCCCATAGAGAGGAGCAGTGTGGGTTGTGAGGGGGTCTGGAGATCACAGTGGTCCCCTTGTGCCTAATAATGAGCACAATCAGATGGGAAGGGGAAACCAACCATGCGTCTGCTGTGTTCCCCCTTCCCTCCTGCTGCAGCACGGGCACCGTGCATGCAAATGTCAGGTTGGAGCAGCCACGTCTGGAGTTCATTGCAGCCCTGGCTGGAGCAGAGAGGTGGGTTTGAGACACTGCTGCACAGCAGCTGCACAAGCAGTGCTGGAGGGTTCTGGTTGGGCTCCTTTGGCAGGAGCTGTGGTAGCTTGCAGGGCCTATGAGCTGCTTCCTGCTAGACCTGGCTCTTCTGCTGGCAATGGGGAATCTGTTCCCTTCACCCTCCACTTAACAGGCATTTAAAGTGCTGGCATCCTATTTGCTCGCCCTGCTGCTGCACAGGGGGTGATGGTGGTGAGGAGATGGAAGCAGGCATGCAATGTAAGCTGGTGTGTACTGGAGACAGTGAGATCCTCCTGCTGAGGTCCTGTGGGATCTGTGCTGTGTGGAGGGAGGAGACAGGGAGGTGGGATGGCAGATGACAGACTGTGTCCAGGAGACTGGCTTTGTGTCATGAGTGTGGGACAGGGCAGAAAACAGAGCTGCGTCCAGCACTGGGACTGCTGGGGTCCTGAGGGTTAAAATCAGCCCTTGTTCCCTGCAGGCAGGCATTGTTCTCACTTTCTCCTTGTGTCCATAGATTCCTGCAGCCCCTGATTTCCATGGCAGGACTGCTCTCCTTGGCACGTGGGCTCAGCAGCGTTACCCTGGTTATCCCTATTCCCAGTGAGGTCTCCTTCCCCATCTATCTCTCCTTTCCCCTTGGCAGGCAGCGGTGACAGAGCCCATTTTGAGGCAGGAAACGTTTGCTGAGGTGTGGGAATTGCAGTCATTACTTACAGCGGGGCAGGAGGGGGGCTGCCTGCGGGACCTGCGCCCAGGCTGATGGGATGGAAGGTGACAGCACTCGCAGGGAATCCTTCTGCTGTTTGCTCTGCTGAGCACGTGCAGTGATTACAGCTGCTTTAGTCCCGTGTTGGTGTAGCCCTGCTCCTGTGCTTGGGGATGGGACCAGGAAGCTCCTCCATATTCAGGTATTTGCTGTTTGTGTGCCAGGTATTTACTGTGTCATAAATAAGCCACTTTAACACCAAAACCACTCTGCTCTGGAGCAAGGAGTCTGGAATCCCTGGGTAGGTGAGACCGTGGGGATACTGCCCATCACCATCTGCCTGAGAGCCAGGATGTGAGGCAGGGCTGAGTGCTGCTGTGATTTGAGGCACAGCCAGTACATCAGTTTGCTTTATGGCCACTGGGCATTATTTTACTTCTCCGTGTATGACATTCCTCATTTAGGAGATTTTTGTCCAACACTTTCTGGGGAGTTGAGTTTTTGGTGAGAGGAAAACCAAAACCTGCACCCAAACTGCTCAGTGCTGGCAGGGAGTTCATCTTCTGTGCTGGAAAACAGCTCCCAGACCCTAACTTGAGACACCCTGGGGAGCTGAGCTCCCAGGCCTGTTGGTTGTGCTGCTGGAAGCATTCCTGCAAGGCATTCCTGTGATGCTTTGAGCCCCTTGCTTACCTACAGGAGAGGAGGCTGGCGCGTTCAGCTGGGATTCTGGAGCAGCCCCTGGATGCTCTTTGGTCCCTGGGCTCAGTGCTGATGCACTGGACCAGAGGGTGCTGCCCTTCAGCAGGACCACTGTGAGGTCCTGCAAGGCTTGGATGGGGAAGGAGCCAGCAAACTCCACACTTTGCTTTTACCTGCAGGCCCAGGAGCTGGGAGAAGAGGAAAAAGACCAAAGCAAAGCAAGTGTAGAGGAAGAGCAAAGCAAAAGAACAAAAGCTGCCGAGAGGTATGGTACAAACAGAGCCACAGAGGAGGTGTGGACAGCCCCAGCTCTGGGTGACTTTCCTGTCATGTCCCCCCTGCTCTGCTCTGCTCTCTGTAACCTGTGCAGGTGTCCCCTGTAGAACACCCCAAGATGCTGCTTTCTCACTGAGCCTCTCTCTTCTCCTTCCACCTTCTTAGTACTGGCTCAGCAGGTTCAGCTTTGTTTCAGCTTCCTGGTAGCTTCTGCCTCTCACTTCCTTGTGGCTGCCCCAGATGCGGAGGTGCCCTCTGCTTCCCTCACAGCTCTGACTTCTCTCTGAGGCTGTGAACATCACGCTTGTGCCAGGATGGTCTGAACCTGGCCTCTCTCGAGCTCTCCCCTCCCTCTGAGAGCTGCAGCGTGTGGCATTTATAGATGAATCGTGTCAAACCTCTTAGCCTCTGCACAGTTACGTGTACTCTGGGGCGCTGGGGACAAGAAGCTGTTGCTGTGCCAGGAACACTTGTGAACACAAGAAGCTGCAGTCCATCTTAATGACTGCCTGCGTGCAGTTGGGATTTGCAGCCTTGTTGCTGTTCATGTGAAGGTCCCCCACAATGTGCCTGCAGGAATTGCCTCCTTATCGCTTGGTACCTGCTTCCCAGCTGTGCATCCTCTCCTCCTCTCTGCCTGTAAAGCTGGCTCCTGCTTGCCTTGCCTCTCTTCTCTGTACTTCCAAGGTGAAGTAGGGTTGTAGATGTAAACACGCCTGCCAGTATTCCCATCTGTGTCTTGGACAGCAGTGTGAGTATTGCTAATAGGGCTGACTTAGCCTGGGGAGATTCTGTGAGGACCTGGAAAGAGAGGGGGGTAATCCAGGGATTAATTCAGCACTTTGAGCCTGGCACCCATGCAACCCTCAGCTGCCTGTTAGCCTGAATGGCTGGGCGCTTTGCTGTGCCGTTGGCAGACCCCTATTAGAGCAATGGGTCCCGTTGGCAGGCACTGCTACCTGCAGCAGCCCCAGGCTGATCTGTGCTAACCCAGTCTTGTGTTCCCTCTTTTGTGCTGCAAAGCGAGAGGGGTCAGAGTGCTTGTGAGACACCGCAGGAGAAGAGCTTTGCTTTAGAGAGCCCTGCTGAGGAGGAGGCCGTGGCAGCGGAGGCGCAGGAGGGCTCGCTGGATATCCCAGGCAGTCTGGAGGAGCCTGCTGCCCCACAGGAAGTGTAAGGGCTTTGGTCAAGTCCCTGGTGTTGTGAACATAACAGTGTTTGTCCCTTTGTTCCCCTCTGTGGTGGTAGAAGCTGGGGTGTGAAGTTGGAGCACCAGGAGATGCGGTTTGGTGGGCGAAGCAGTGCGCCAGCATCTCTATATGCAAATCCAAGCAGCTGTTTCACTGAGTGCCAAGGGAACAGCCTGTCCTGGGGAGGGAAGAGCAGCAGCTCGGCCCTTGGGCTCTGTGTCACAGGAGCCTCGGGCTGGAGGGAAGTTGCTTTGTGCTTGGAGGAGCCTCCTGCTCTTTGCCAGCGTTGCTAATGAGGCTGGGAGCGTTCACCTTGCTTTGGGAGATGCTTTCACACAGACGGGGGGAACAAGAGAACCCAGGCAATCACCCCAGTTTTCCAGTCACTGGAGCACTGGTTGCTTTGGGGTATGATAAGCCCAGAGCACAGGATGCAGAGCTCAGGTTCCTTGCTAAAGCCAGCGCTCTGTTGCTGCACTAAATAGCTGCTCTTTGCAGATCCGTCCCCGCGGTTCCTCTGCCGTAGCAGAGCTCATAGAAGTGGTTGTGCTGACTTTGCTTTCTGTGCCAAGTGACAGACCAGCAGGTGCAATGGGGGAAAGCAGGCAGTGCCTCCCAGGACTGAGTGCTGGAGAAGGGATCTGTGATATGGGCACGAGCACAGAGTCTCCCTTTCCCCTTGGAATCGTGTTGAGCTGTGTAAGTGTGTGTGTGTGTTGGACGGATCTCCCTTTAAGCAAGCACTGGGCCAGAAGGAAGAACATGTTAAAAGGTGGAAGCGGCAGGGCAGGAGATGAACACCACCTTCTGCAGGCCCCTCTGCAGCAGGCCCCGAGCAGGCAGCATTACATGGAAGCAATAATGAAGTGGCTTTTTCCAGACCCCAACTGCTCCTTCCTATCCTGTTCTTTTTGCTAATGGCTGCATAAGTGACCTTTTCTCTTCTGACTCAGGCCTGTGTTGCTGGGGCTGCTATTTCCTTGATTGCTGGCAAAACAGAAGTCCCTCTGCCTTATGCTAGCACAGAGCACGATGAGACCTTTCTGCTCCAGCTTTCAGTAGCAAAGAATGAGTTTTTTCTTAGCTCAATCTTCATTTTCCCCTCTTTCCCCTTCAGCCTCTCTCAGACCTTATAATTTTACTGCTCTCTGTCTGAAAAAAAGCTTAATTAGAAGCAGATTGGGTTTGAATTTGTGGAGTGCTTCGGGGCTTTCTGTTGCCTGGAGCTGCCAGGCTCCCAGCACACTTCAGACTGCAATGGCAGGGAAGTACCTGGTCCAGCAGCACGGTGCTGCTAGTCCCTGGGCTGCACACGGGTACTGCCTGCATCTGCTTTAGCGCCTGGCTTTCAGAGCTATTACAGCCTTCCTGTTCCCCTTGCAAGGTGATCTCTAGTGGGACAAAGCAGGAGTTACCAGGACCTGAGTGCTGCTCAGGTTAAGGTGTCAGTCAGAGTTCCTCTGGAAGTCAGCCCATGGGAGCATCCCCACACTGGTACCGGAGGTGATGCGCTGCTCAACCTGGAGCGTGTGCTATGTGTTCCCCAGCAGCCTTGTGAGGAGAGCTTGTGTGTACCCACCTTGTGTCCTGCCTCTCTTCCTGCCTGTGCTGCTGGTCCTCAGCTCCCGTGAGCTAACCAGCAAGGGATTCTCTCCTCCTTTCCCTTGGACAGTGATGTTTCTAGAGGAGGGGGCTCTGGGGTTCTTGGTTTGGGGGGATGTTGCTGTTCCTTAATGTGACACTTTTGCCAAAGGAACCTTCTCTTTTTGGTAGGCAACCTGAGGAGCAACCTGAACGCGAGCAGTCCTTGAACCCGCCTAGTGATGAGTCCCTGGAGGGAGCAGCCGATGAGCTGGAACACAGGCAAGAGATAACACACTTACTGCAAGCACAGGAGGAGAAAAGTCAGCAGTTCCAGGAGGAGAGGAGGCAGCCGGAGGAGGAGGAGGAAGCTGAGAAGCTTTGTCAGCAAAAAGAAAAATCCCTCAGGTACTTCCTTCTGTTACTCCATCTCCCTCCTGTTTCTGCTCTGAGCTGTGATTTCATTGCTGGGGGCCACAGGCTTGGGCTGCTATAGGCCATCACCTTGGAGGTGGTGCTGCTTTGCAGAGCTGTTGACAAAGGAGGCAAGAAAAAGGCTTTTGGGGAGGAGGAGGAGTACAGGGCTTTGCCTGGCACACGCAGTGCTGTGTGTGAGGGTCTGCACATCTCAATGGGCAGTGGTCTGCTGGCAGTGCTGTGTGTGGAGAGCACGGCCTGCCTCAGGAAGAGGAGAGAGCATTCCCACATCTCCTGCGGGATGAGCTCTGGTTCCATACACATGCAGCTTGCAGAGCTCTGAACCTCTCTCTTATGGTTAACCTGGGAGAAGTTTCCAGCTCGGTGCTTGGAGCTTTAGCACCTGGCCAGCGTTCAAACCCGGCCTGGATGGTAGTAACAGGACTGCAAATTGGAGCATTAGAGGAGATGAGGTTACCCCAGAGGACCCATCTGAACCTCTGGTACCGTATGTTCTACAGAGGGACTTCCAAACAAGGCTTTAAGGAATAGGGCATCCAGGTTCCTTGGCTGGGAGCCTGCTTTCATTTAATAGGAGTTGATTGAATTTACCAGGAAAACACGCAGCCCCAAGTGCCATCCATGAGGATGCAGCACACTGAAACAGAGGTTTGGTGCTCCCGTGCCAGCAGCCGGATTCTGATGCATGGAGGGGAGTTGTTGGTCTGGAGCCCTGAGAATGCCTCACTTGGGCAGGCACAGCCGGGGGGAGCAGCAGCTGATCCCCTGGGGAGGTGGTTGGAAGGTATGAAAGCCTCCTGAACCTTGTTTCTGTTTTTGGCTGCTCATCTCTCAGGGCTCTACGGGAGGATTTGGCAAAGGTCTCTGAGGAGGAAGAGCTGCGTATTAGAAAGGAAGAAACTGAGAGACTCTCAAAGCTGCGAGCTGAAATTGCCTCAGAGACCAAAGCAGAGGAGGAGAAGATAAGGTGGGAAGTTTTCCTGCCATCCCTGGGGATGTAAACTGCTGCTTTGGGAGGGAAGCATCTCACATGTCACCAGCAACTGCTCCAAGTGGAGGTGTTAGCCCTCCTGAGCCTCCTGTGGCTGGTACCCTGCTGAGGTAGCAAGTACAAGGTCCGAAATGTGATGCTGTGTTGCTGTGATGTTGGGCCACAGCTCTGGGCCATGTAAGTGAAAGAAATGGCACCTGCAAGGAGAGGAGCAGTTTGCAGCATAGCTTGGTTTGAGCGGATGTCTCTGTTTAACAGCTCTTAAGGCCTGTGGAAGCAACTGGAGGAGGCAGACACTGGAAAACCTACAATTGGTTATTTCCTATTTCACTGCTGACTGCTTTGCTGTTTCTTTCCAAAGCCTTAATTGGTACACTTGTGAATGGTGTGCTGTGAGTCTCAGTTTCTTCTGGCTTGCATGTGCTGTCATCTCTTGGCTCTGGTTCCTAAATGGAGTCCAGTGGTAAAGCACCGACTTCTGTCTGTACTCTTGTTGCAAACCTACCAGGGCAGAGCAAGAGGCCACACTGCAGAAGCTAAGAGAAGAGTGGGAATTCCAGCAGGTGATGGAGAAGGAGAGCCTGGAGAGGAAGCAGCAGCTTGTTTTGCAGCAAGTGAAGCTGGAAATGGAGGAACTTCAGCAGAAAGAGATGAGCAAGCTGGAGCATGAAAAGGACCAATCCCTGAGTGAGCTCAGGTTGAGATTAGATGGGGAAAAGAAGAAGGTGAGATCTCTATGCCCAGCTAGGGCTTGTGTTGCAAAGCTAAAGCATTGAGATGAAATAACACCAGTATGTGTTTTAACAATGGCTCACTTAAACCAGAGGGAAGATGCTAAGGGATGACGTTAGAGGCTGGCTGAGGTCGGAGGAGTACTCCCCCAGGTTTTATTGCAGTGGTGATTAAATAACAATTACTTAAATGGCCATGTTGCATGTGAAGAAGAGAGAAAGATTGCTGTGTCTCTGCCAAGCTAAACCAAGCCACTTTATCTGATCACCTCTTTGGCTGCTGCTTTAGTCCTCCTGAGAGCCTGGGCAGTTCAGAGTCCTTCCAGCACAGCATGATTGAGATCCACTGAGATCTCCTTGCATGTGCTCTGGTTTGGAAGGGATTTACCATTGTGGTTTCGATGCTTGTGGATAGATGATAATGGCAAATGCATCTTGTGTGGTGTGTCCCCACACGTCGAGGTTTTCCAGCAGCCTGTCTTGCTCCTGTGCCTGTAGGCAATGGAAGAGCTGGAGAAGGAGTTTGCAAGTGAACTTCGGCAGCTGAAATCGGCAGCGGAAGAGAAGCATCGTAAGGTAAGAGCTGGTGTCCTTACAGTGTAAATAGTTTTCTCCCACACTGCCACCAAAGGTGCCCGAGGAGGGTGGTGTTAATGTTTCCCACTTGCTAAATGTGGTTCTGGTCTGGCTCAGCATTTGGACAAGCTCCAAGCAGGGGGAGGTGAGACTGCACACACTGGTCTTTGCCATGCTGCTTGCTCTCCGTAGGAGGACGCTGAATGGATCTTGTCAGAAGGGTGACAAATCTCTGGGGGTGGCTTTCATGGCAGGTCATTTCCAGCCTGCAAACCCAGATAGCAGAGGCACAGAGGAGTGAGGAGGCTCAGCTGCGGGAAGACTTGCAGAGAGCAGAGCAGAAAGTGCAGCTGAAAGCCTATCGGCTGACAGAATACGAGCGCGAGGCAAGTACTCACCTTGGATTGCTGATGGTCCCTCACCACCTCTCACTGGATGTGTACTGGGGTCTGAGAGGCCACATCCCCTGCCCGGGTGTGACGGTGGTGCCTGAGGGGGAAGAACACCCCTACAGCATCTTAACCTCACCAGGGTGCTTTGTGCTACCCAGGCCACAGCCTGATCCCACTTGCAAAGTACTCTTGAGCTTCAGTCCCTCTGCTCATGTGTGAGTTGTTCCCTGGGGGGCTGCTGGGGTCTGATGCTGTAGTTCAGAGAAACATCTTCTTGTGTCACCCCTGCAGCTCAGCGAGCTGATGAGAGAGAAACGCCAGGAAGTGGAGAAGGACCATGAGAGGAAAATGGAGAGGATGAAACAGGAGCATCAGGAGGCTCTGGCACGGGTTCAGGATCAGTATGAGGAGGAGGTACTGCTGGGTGAGAGCAGTGGGGTTGGGAGGTGACTGGTGGCTTGCTCAGTTGGGCTGACACAGCTACTTGTCAGTCCTGTCTATCTCAGCCACTCCTAGAACCAGAAATTGTCTTCCTGGCCATTGCTGCCATGACAGAAAGTGAATTCAGGCTGGGGTTATAAGGATAAGCTGTCAAAATGTTCTCTGTGAAGGCAACTTCCACGTGCTTTTGTGGATTTCTGCACAAGATTTGTGGGTACCCATTTTGGAAAGCCTTCTGCCTCCCATTTTTGACTATATAGTCGGCAGTACATAACAAAACCTCAGTGTCTTGTCCCTGTATGCAAAAGGTTCTGACCTGCTGTAGTTGGTGTTAGCTCCGGGCTTGCTCTCTGTGAAGCCGCGATGCTTTGCTGGAGAACCCTGGGCTTCACTCAGCGCTGTTCCTGCTTGTGTTTGGCACCAAACAGGAGAGGAAGCAGAGAGCAGAGCTGCAGGAGGGCCTGCGGGGCGAGCTGGGGCGCCTGCGGCAGCGGCACGAGGCGGAGGTGAAGGCGCTGCAGGCAGAGCTGGGCGAGCGGCTCGCGGCGCTGCAGCACAGGCAGCGGGAGAAGGTGAGCGTGTGCTGTGCTGCTTGGCATGGCCTGGGTGCCCTGGCACTCGTGTGCCTCCCACCCTCTGCAGCACAATGGGCAGGATGTGCTCTCCCAGCTCCTGGTGTGGTGGCAGAGCTCTGCCTGGTGAGGGAGGAACTCGTGCTGCTCTCTAACTCGGCATCTCTGTGCAGGAGAGGAAGGTGCAGGAGTTGGAAAGCGAGCTGGAGGTGCGCATGAAGAACGTGCAGACCAGGTCAGCACAGCTCCTGAGCCGGGTGAGTCCCCGTGGGCCTCCCAGCCTCTCCTGGGAGGCTTTGCAGAAGTGCTCATTGCTGCCATGCAGGTTACAGGTAAAACCTCCATCTCCAGGCAGAGCAGGGCTAAGTGCTCCTGGCAGTACAGCCTCGTGGCTGGTCTTTGCAGTGAAAGACAGTAAGTGGCTGTAAAAGTGACAGGGGGATCATTAAAGCCTTTCAAGGTGGCATGTTCTGCTCAGCATCGTGTCAGATTTCAGTCAGCCCCTTCCTGATTTACCTCCTCTTCTCCCTGCTGCTGTGAAAAGAGTGAGGGTTTCTGGATCTTGGGTAGCAGTGGGAGAGGGAAGCACTCCAAATGCTACAGTGGAGCTGGCAGAAATCCCTGGCTGATGCTCTCACCTGCCAGATCTCTTAAGTCCTGGCCCGTGCCAAGGGCTGTAGATAACATTGCTTCTGTCAGCCCTTCCTTTCCCAGCAGCACTGGGGTGAGGAAGTGAAAAGGTAGAGAAATGGTGGAGGTGAGCAGAGGCTTCAGAAAAGCAGGATCCTGTGGAAATGGCCATGAGCCCTGAACACTGCAGGGGAATGCAAATATGCCCAACTTCTCCCTTGAAGTCAAACAGAGGAAGGGGATCTTGAGCATGTTGGGGGGAATAAAGCAAAACTGACAACAGTCCTCAGGTTTTGAAATGGTCTTGGACTTAGGCCTGACCTGCTGCAAGTGCTGCTGGGCATCAGCATCTCCTGCCTCTGACACTCACCTGTTGTCTTACCTGTGTATAGGAGGAGTCTCTGAGGAAGAAGAGGCAGCAGCTGCTGGAGGAAGACAGGCAGGCGAAGCTGGAACGAGATGTATGTATGCCTTGGCTGCCGTGCTGCTCTTCCTCTGGGGATTAGGGCAGCACACTACAACTGTGGCTTGGAAGAAGCAAACTGCTTCCCCTGAGTTGTGAGTGTGAAGGTCTGGAGTGCCATCCTGCTGGCACTTTGATCAGCTCCAAGCTGTTTCCTAAGAGAAGGAGCCAGTTCTGTGCCTCCAGGTTGTGTGCCTGTGTAGCGCTGGGACCGCCTGTGCGCTGTGCAGGTAGCCAGCTCCTGCACGCTGTGTGCTTTGGTGCTGGGGAGATAACTGTGAGGGATTCTTTGGCTTTCTCCTAGGAAGCTGCTTTAGCCTCTCAGCTCCGGCTAGAGGAGAGCAGGAAGGAGCATTCCGGCCTCCTGGAGTCCATCCGGCAGCTGCAGAAGTCTGTGGAGGAGCTCCAGGACAAGAAGGCTGAGCTGGAGGCTCAGGTGGATTTGCTGCAGACCCGAAAGCAGAGGCTGCAGAAGCGCAAGAGGTGAGAGCATGAGGGATTTCCTCTGATACAAGCACATCTACCCTCTGCCCTGACAGAAACCTCACCCGGGCCTCTCCTTTACCTCTGAGCTGGACCATACTCCTTCAGAATCCTAATGGTGTTTTACTGTGTGCTGAGGGCACAGGGGTCCTGGGCTCCGTTGCCTGATCTGTTACTCACTTGCTGTGTAATTTTGCCCCTTCACCTCTGCTTGTCACATCCATTTGGCTTCTCTCCACCTGTCTGGTGAGGTTAATAAGATGCTTTGAGAGACTGGTTCCTGGGCTAGATGGACCTGCAGTGTAATCAGGTGTTGTCTTCTGTGCGGCAGTGAGCTGGACGCAGCCATCAGAAGCAAACAGGACACTTTGAAACAACTGGAGGCAGAAGAAAGTGTGGAATCTCCAAGGGAGGAAGCTGAGCTCCGTGCTGAAGACCTGGGAGAAGCTAGTCAAGCTGTGAGTAAAGCAGACTAAAGGTGCTTGCAGTGTGAGATCTGAGGCTGTAACTCCCTTGAAAATCCCAGCTTTTGTTCCTTCTGGTTGAAGTCAGTTGAGATGCAGTGATGCGTTTTTCTTTGCCAGGGGACATCAATATGTTTAGGGCTGATTTCTGTCTCTTATTACTGGGAGGAAAGGAGTGTGGGATACTTGAGTGCCCTTGGAGTCAAAACAGGGATGGAAATGTCTTTGTTACTTTTGAAAAGTCCCATGAAGAGCGTCCCTGGCACTGATTTTGGGTCTGGGCCCTAACTTGATGGTAGCATTGTGAATGTTGGCTCCTAATTGGATTCTCATGGGGTTCTAGGGTTCTGTTTCCCAGTTTCCCATGCAAAAGTCAGTTGTTTCCATGTTTCAACTCCTCAGCACTCATCTGGAGAGCCTGTTTCCCCACCCGCCCAAAGCCATGAGGACAGTGACCTCCAGTTTGATCAGTGAGTATCTTACCCCAGCTGCTTCTGGAGAAGGGTTTGCTGTGGTTTTAGGAGCAGGAGGGCACAGCACAGGAAGGCAGGAGCATGTGTGTCTCTCTCATGTAGTGTCAGGAGCTACATCTCTGCGGAAGGGATCTCCATCAGGAATGCCAAGGAGTTCCTGGTGACCCAGACCCGCTCCATGAGGAAGAGGCACTTGGCACTGAAAGCTGCAAAGCAGCAGTGGCACCAGGACATGCAGAAGGCCCAGGAGGTGGTGCAGGATCCCGAGAGCTCCCAGCACCTGGAGGGCATGCGCAAGAACCTGGAAGAGGTGAGCAGCGCAGCCCAGGCGCAGGAGCTTGGCTTTAGCTGAAGCTCTTGGGACCTTCAAGTGGAGGAAGTGTTACCTCCTTTCCCTTGGGGTGAGCTGGCGTTGAGGCTTGTGCTCTGCCCTCTCTACATTCCATTTCCCATGCTCTCCAAGACTTGGGAGCAGCTTTACTCTGGCAGCATCATTTCCAGTGCTGAGTAGAAGTGAGATAATGAAAGTCACCCCAACCACTAATGCAGTTCTTTCCTGTCATTCTGGTTCACTCCTCCTTGGCTTGGCTGTTGACCCCCTGCAGGAAGCCAAGCAGTTGGACAAGATGAAGTCTGCTATGCGGAAAGGACAGGTACTGCTCAAGAAGAAAGAAGAGAGGCTGAGCCAGCTGGAGTCCTCGCTGCTGGAGGAGGTAACCACCAGCATCACTGCTGCTCGGGCCTGCCTGGCTGCGCTCCAACCTGCCCAGAGCCCCTTTCCCTGGGCTGAAGTCTCTGGTCCCTGTTGGTGAGGCTGTTTATGGTGGCCAGAGAGTGATGCTTGCCAGTAGAGCTGGGTTTCTGAAACACGTTCTCTGAGAGCAGAATAGGGACCCAAATAAGATGTGCCTTAAACCACAGCAGCCATACAGCATGTCTTATTTGGGTCATTTTCCTTCTTTTGCCCAGCTTTCAGATGAAGACACACTGAAGAGTGCTGCATGCAAGAAGGTGGTGACTTTTGATCTCAGGGACTCTGAGGATACAAACAGCACATCCAGTGTAAACGTAAATCAGCCTGAATGTAAGTGCCTGACTGCCATTTGCAAGGGAATTGCTGTTAGGTTTATGGCTATGTGAAGGGGTACAATAGAACGGGGAGGGATGGGGCAGGGAGGCCAGACGTGCACACTTGTGCATATCCAGACTTGTCTGGCAGGCCCTATTCTTGCAGCATGGGAGGATCATGTCCTTGCTATCATGGTTCTGCTCCACTCGGTGCCCAAGCAGCCTCCAAGGCACAAATCCTGGCTGCAAAGCCTCTGTATCCCACTTAGCACAGATTGATTGGTGTCAGCTTGGACAGGGAAGGTCTCCGGTTTCCCTTGCCTTCCCAGTGACCCCTCTTTTCCCCTCTTTTCCCCCAGTGGATTTGAGAGCCGATTTGCAGGCTGTCCCTGAGCCAGACAAGGTCAGGTTCCTGACAGAGTCTGTGATGCGCATCTCTAGTGAGCTCAACAGGGTCCTCGGTGTCTTGGGCTCTCTGAGCAGCCAGCAGCCTCCTCTCTTGACCTCGACGCCCCGTGACAGCACCCCTGTTCCTCTGTGTGCCTCCTCGCCAGGACTTCATGCAGGCGGCTCCCGGCTGCCCCCACCAAGGACGTCCTTGGGGGACCAGCAGGCCTGGAGCTCTGGGCTGAGCTCTAGTGACTCTTTCTCAGCTGGGCGCTCAGTGGACAGCATCCTGGCAGACAAGTGGCACAAGTACTTCCCAGGTGAGTAACTCCCTGTCTTTACTCCATCTGCTTGCTTGCTTCACAGCCCTACAAGTTCTCACTGTGTTCCCTCCAGCACTGGCAAGGCCAGATCCTCTGGTGCTGCTGATAGGAAGGGTGCTAATGAGATAAGGAATAAGAGCTTCATTCCAGGAAGTGCAGCATATGGCTGATCTGGTTTCTGGAGCAGTTCAGCCTTTAATATACACCCAAGAAAGCAGTTCTTGCTCAAGAAGGGGCCCTGCTTCACTGGAAGCCTCCTGTGACCCGCAGATAGATTCACCATCTCTGTTTCCTTAACACCACTCTGTCCTTGGCAGGTGGCTCAGCCTGTGGGGACGATGTGTCCATAGTACAGGAAAGCAAATGCACCCAGACATAAATGCTATTGATTTGGGGGGAGCTGTATTTAATCTCTGTTTTCCAGGTGGGTTCCCATCGCACACTGGAAGTTCCAGGCTTCTAGACAACAAGCTGGGATACGTACCTGCAGAGTAAGGGTCTTGTTCCTTGAGTTCTTGTTTCACTGTGTTGCTTTTCTTTCTGTGGAATGATTTATAGGTCACACCGTATACCATGTAGATAAAATAAGGTATATGTTAAGTAGATCAGTTAGATGTCATCAGTTACTCATTGCCACATGCTCGGTCTTGGGTCATCGTGGGTGTGGGATCATTTCTGCCTAGACCCCATTTTTCCCACTTGCACTGTCTCTTTCTGTCTCCTGTACAACAGGGAGCAGATCCGGCGGATGCAGCGCTCCCAGTCCCAGAGCTGTGAGTCAGACAGGACGAGTATTGAAGGAATGATTGGGATGAACGAGAAATGGCTGAAAGACTTCATGAGGGAGTCAAAACTGTATCCTTTGCCTGGGTCCCTGATGGCACTCCAGCGTCCTGCAGCAGGTCAGAGCAGACAGCAGGAGGTGGGTGGATCAGGAGGGGTAAAGCACTGAAAGCATCAGGGGCTTTGCTGCGGGCATTGCCTGCTGAGCAGCCTGCAGTGAGGGACAGTGTCTTGAGGCTGGGGTGCTCTCCCTTGCTCCAGCTCAGTTTTAGGGCATGTTGTAGCGTGTGGTTGGGCCAAATGGGTGAGAGCTCCCTGTTGTGTCAGTGGGGGCGGTTCCATGCTCCTGTTGTAACTGCCTTACACCAGAGCTCTCTATATTTCCTCGGCAGTGTGACTGGTATTAGCAGCAAATCCCTCGGGCTGTCCTGCGCACGGTGCTCCTTTGAATTCCCTAATCCCCCTTTAATTCCATTTGACTTGGGTGCAGCAGGCTAAATGCAGCACATGTGTGCAAGCCTGGCTCCTGCCCCTCGGTACCTGTCCTGTCTGCTGGCTCTGCTCATGCCTGCTAATGCCTCACCTAAGCCAGGCTTTTCCTTCACCCAGCTGCCAGGCCTCTCTTCCCAGGGGCACAGAAGCCCCCTGCCAGCAGCTCCAACATACTTCAGCTAAGACTGGATGAAAACAGGCAAATCAAACTCTACCATTACTAAAGGGTGGGCCCTGGCTCTGCAGAGGTGGTGGTGGGGGCCACACATTGGTTCCTGTGATTCCCAACCATCTCTGCTGCATCTTTGTGCTGTGCCCTTGAATTAAAGTCTTTTTCCAAGAGAGCGGAGGAAGGAGGAAGTGAACTCCCCAGGTGGATTCTTCTAATCCTGTGATGTGTCCAAATACACTTTATAGACTGTTTAATCCAGTGGTGAAACACCAGGGCTTCGATAAATCAACACTTCTGTCATTAGTATTCCAGCGACCGTGAGCCGTGGCTGTGATTCACGGAGGACTTGGAGGAACTGGTCAAGGGGAGGGCTGTGAATCCAGCTGAGGCTCTGCTAGAGGAAACGTGTCAGGAAAGGAGCCCACCCTGAGGCCCAGCAGGTGCTTAATAGCAGGTGGGCCAAGTCATCAGCCCCTGGCACGTGTGTGAGCAGGCAGTGCGAACCATGACGTGGCTCTGGAGCCCAGGGACAGCATTGGAATGGCAGATTCTGGCTCTCAGGACATGCTCCTGTCTTTTGGAGTGGAAGCGGTAGGATCTAAGCTGGGAATGGCTTTTCATGGCTCCCTGCTTCCTCTTTGTGCCACGCCAGCCAGCGCTGTGCTGCAGGAGCTCTTCTGTGTTAGGGATGTGCAGCATGGAGCAGGGATGGGGAGAGATGATGGGGAGGTACCTGCCCAGCCTAGCATGGATGAGACAAAGCCCCATCTGCATCCTTCTGTGCCCTGAGAGGGACCTGAGCTCAGCTGGCAGGCAGTGGCTGCAGGGATGCTCCTGTGGGAGGGGGCAGATGGTGCTGCTGTAAGGGGAGGCAGGAGCCAGGCTCTGCTGGTGCAGAGCAGGGGTGTGCTCTGTGCTCGTCTTTGTCACTGTTTCCTCCAAGCTGACGTTAAATATTGTAGGCTTCAAGGAGCTGCTGCACCACTTTGCCGTTTTGCCTGGTGAAGGAGGCTGCGTTTCAGGGAATCCCATCTGTGAGGAATCAGCTTCAAAGCCGCTCTCCTTGGATGCTGAGGCTGCTGCTCTGCACCCGGCAGTGCTGGTTGTGCTCCTCGTGATGTGCAGCAGAGTAAGGCAGAGCCCGCCCTGCTTTGCTTCCCCCTGCGCTGGCACGGGGGAGCGTTTACATGCAAAGAGAAATCTATTTTTGATGAATGGGATTTTGAAACTCTCAAGAATGGCTGAATTTAGTCTTTTTTTTTCCTGATTTTCTTGGAATTTTTGAGTTACTTTGTCCTAGGCCAGCTCCATCTGTGCTCAGGTCCATGTTCTCCCACTCTGGGGGTGCTAAGCAAGTACAGGGCAGTCCTTCCTGAGGAAATCCCAGCCAGCCTTTCCTGGCTGTGACTGATCCAAACGCAGGTTTCCCATCTCCTTGGGATTGCACCAATCCCTGTCTGTAGGGGATTTGCTTTTGGATCCCTGGCTGTTGATGTACACGTGGCAATCATCCAGCTGGGTACTGCAGAGGGGAGCCTGAGGTTCTGGCAACCCAGGGAGGCTGTGCTCAGAGGCACACATTGCAGTGCAGAGCGATGCCTCTTTCCTCAGCAGTGACTCGTTTTGAGCATGTTCCTGTTAAATCCTGTGACCGTGGCTGTATGTGGGTTTGTACTCAAATTAAACCAGCACGAGCCTGTTTTGTACTGGGGGTGTTTGAGGCTGTGTTTTTCTCTCGATGGGATGTTCGGTTGTAGCCCTCGCTATCAGCTTGTGCTTCCCTTGCCCATCTTCCCCTGGCTCAGCTCTGGGCTCTTTCATGGCAAGGTCACTCCTGCCAGTCCCCAGCTCACGGTGCCTTTATCACCATTATCCTGTTAAGTACCTGGCCAGGGTAGGGAACGCAGGAGCCAAGCAAAAGCTACAAAGCAAAGCTACACAAGCAGTTGTTGGGGCTCTCAGCAGCAGGACAGCTTTACACGGGCTCATACCCTGTCCGTGTCATGGAGCTGTCACCCTGCCTCTACAGTGGCTCTGGAGCTGTGTGCCAAGGCCAGAGTATGGGCTGCGTGGGGTGCAGTAGGGAGCTGGGGAATTGAGCCCTGGCTGGGCACTGCAGATGTGCAGCATGGCCAAGGGAGTTTGGGAGAGGGGAGGTTCGACCACCCTTGTTTCTCCAGCTCTGATTCTTCTGCACAGTGCATTGCTCCTGGAAGTCTGAGGTTCACAGGAATGGGGATGTGGGGCTCTGAGTGAACCTAACATGATTCGGGCTACCGGTACAACCAAGCATGGCCAGAGGATGCTTGAGGCGCGTGGATGCTGTGCATGGTTGTGGGAGGGTTGGAAAGGAAGGAGTGTGACTGCTGCTGTGCACCCTGGGGAGAGGAGAGCTGCTGGACTGATGAGGCTCAGGGGTAACAGTGTGTGGATCAGCTGGTCCTGCAGAAACAGAGGCTGATGGAGGCACATCCTTCAAACCAAACACAAACCCTGGACCGGCCCGGCTCTTGCTGTGCATGGGCTGCACTCTGTGGGAAGAGCTACTGGGGGAGGATGGCAGCGCACGGTCCACGTAGGCACTTGGGACAAATCCCTGTTCCCACTCCTGAGGCAGCTGCTGTGCAAGGAGCACAGGGGTCTAAAGTCCCCTCCGAACTGCAGGTGCCTGCCTGGTGCAGGAGGCTTTGCTGTGGTGCAGCCCTGTGGTGTGTGGGGTGTGCATGTACCTAGGGAAGAGGATTTGCCTTTCCTGGCCCCACTGGTGCTGGGTGTGTGAGAGCCGCAGTGATTACAGGAGCAAAAGGACAGCGCCCGATTACTTTGCCACGATGAACCCAAGCCCTAAGCTCATTAAGGGTCTTGGCCTCTGCCTGCTGGGGAAGGATCACGTCAGTCCCTGGCCATTCGGAGACCTCTGTGCATTGCTCCAAGGCTTTGCCTCCCTCCGACAGCCCAGCCATGCTGGGGACCCTGATGACAGCGCTCTTCTTCGTGGTGAGGGCCTTTGGGCAGGTGAGTGCGGGCAGCCTGGGGCATTCCTTGCTTCCCTTTCCCTTCTGTGGGTTACCTGGTGGAGAGAGGGCACCAAGGGGCGCTGGCCCTGCTGGGAGCAGTGGGAAGTGACTATGACACTGTGAGCACAGCTCCGAGCCCTGCCTCTCCGTGCAGGGAGAGGAGGCAGAGCCCCTGCTTGCCATGGTGACACTGCCTGCTCTGCCTCCCTAACCCATGGGTCTGCCCATGCGCTCTGCAGCCCCACTGCCTCCAGATGAGCCTTTCCCATCGGTGTGGTGCCATAACACGCACTGAGCATCACCACGGCTGCTCACTGGTGATGCTTGCGGAGATGCAGCTCTTTGGGTTGTTGTTCAGCTTCTGTCCTCTTACCTGTGCCCACCCTCTGTGTGCCCAGCTGGGGAGCAGCCTGTTCCATGAGGAGCCCCTGCCATACCTCGTGTACCAGCCCCTGCCCTGGCAGATCCAGTGTGTGACCCAGAGCCGCCGCTCCAGCCGGGACAGCGAGGTGAGGGCTGGCATCGCCATGCTCCTGGCACCCAGGGATCTGACCATAGGGGCAGCGGGCAGAGATCTTCCTTTCCCTTTAAAGACAGGAATCATGGTAATGCCTGAGGTGGGATAAGCTGGCAAAGGCAGGAAAGGTGTTAGCAGACAAATTCAAGCCTATTTTTAGGGATGAAAAGCTCCCCTGGCGAGCTGACATCTCTCAGTGCATGGTAGGGGACACAAACCCAGCAAGTCTGGGTCCAAGGTGATGGCAAATACAGGTCTAGTGAGGCCTGTGCCAATGTGCACTCAGGTGCTGCCAGCACATCCCGGATGTGGGTTTTGATACAAAGCTCTCCGAAGGACTTTCAATAACCAGAAAGTAATCAGTGCTCTTTAAGGGAGCAGCAGCGAGTGTGTTTGAGGTTCCTAAAGGGATGGATAGTGGTGAGCTTGGCGAGGGGGGCTCTGTCCCTTTTAGAGCTTCCCAGCTGCCCTGCAGGGACTGTTCCTGCTGCCTCTGCCCGGGGTATAACTGACTGCACTGTACTTATGCTCTCTACCTTTCTAGAGAGGCAGGAGCTCTCGGCACAACAGCATCTACTCCATTTCTGGAGAGAAAGGTGAGTAAGGAGCAGGCGGGGAGCCAGCCCTGCACAGGTAACATGGGAAGCGCATGGCTGTGGCTGCGGGATGCAGCAGGAGAGCAGGGATTGCCATTTGTGGCCTCTTTCTTCCAAAAAATCTCTCTGACATTATTAAGGGGTATTTTGGAAGATGTTTATTAAATCTGCAGTACCAGCAAGTGGAGGCCGCAGTGAACAGACATCATCACACACATACATGGGTGCATGTGCTTCCTGCCTCCTCCTGTGAAACCTGCCCATGGAATCGCATGGGTCGCTGTCCCCCAGACCAGCCCCTCTTCCTCTCCTCCCTGTCCTGTGCCCCCCTTTCTCCTCCTCACTCCTATCTCCGAGGCTCTGCCCTCTCTGCGCAAGCCAAGCACTCACAAAGAGGATTTGGTGTTTCTATTCCCAGTGCAGCTCGGGCAGCAGCCGCATGAGGAGGTGACATGCAATGGGGCTGAGCTGTGATGTTCCTCCTTGGTGCATGGACCAGTACCTCTGTTGTGGGGGTCTCACTGCCCTGGGAGCGGTGACAGGCCCTGTGCTGACAGCAGCACTTACCCTGGTGCAGCAAACACATGTAGAGCATCACAGCCCCGGTACCCAGGCAGGATGTACATCCCGTGTATCTTGTTGAACAGGGCAGGAGGGAGCTCATTCCCAATGCACCCCCCTTTTCTTCATCCTTCTTTACTTTGCAGTTTCTTTTAGGCTGTGAATAAAAGCGGGTTCAGGTGAGTTTATGGAGCAGCATCTGGCACACGGGTTTCTGATGGCTGCTCGGGGGGTGCTTAGCAGTGACACGCTGGCTGAAAGGAGCGCTGCTGAGTGCCTTTGATTCAGCTCCTGTTGAATTTCACAATACTTCCCTAATGCCACATTAAGTGCGAGGTGGGGAGGGCTCCCATTTGTCAGCATGAGAGCTTTATTGCTGTACAGTGCTTGGGCTGTTTTCTAATCTTATTTGTGTGTGTGAAAGTAAGTGAGCATCATACTTGGTGATTAAATGTGGGGAAGCTGAGGTCTTCGGGGACTAAAGCTGCGTAAATAGAGGGCTTAGCGCTGCCAGGGAGGATGGGCTCTTTCCTCTGCCTCCTGGTCCCTGCAGATGTGCCCTGGGAGACAGCGAGATCGTGCTTTCCTGGTGGGGACTGCACCCTCCTGTCTGTGGGTGC